ATATATATATATATATATATATATATATATATATATATATATATATATATATATATAGTGGTTGCCGGAAAGTGCGCGTTATGATTTAGCCAGAGGCTGTTATGATAAAGCTCTTCAAACGCTAGAAAAAATAGCCAGAGAGAACGGCAAGTCTATGCCAAGTGGAATGCTAGTAGATAATACCCATAAAGTAAGTGGAATGCTAGTAGATAATACCCATAAAGTAAGTGGAATGCTAGTAGATAATACCCATAAAGTAAGTGAGATAATACCCATACAGTAAGTGGAATGCTAGTAGATAATACCCATAAAGTAAGTGGAATGCTAGTAGATAATACCCATAAAGTAAGTGGAATGCTAGTAGATAATACCCATAAAGTAATTGAGATAATACCCATAAAGTAAGTGGAATGCTAGTAGATAACGCCCGTGAATGAAGTAAGAACACATTTTTTGAACGTGTTAAAGTCAAATTGATGGTACATAAACGGATCTATTTTTGAAATTTCACGCATGGTAGTGAAATGTCCTTTGATTTTCCAGATTCCCAAAAGGGGCAGATTTAGTGATCTGTGCATTAGAAGACTACGACTAACTACATGATGTGGACTATATGGTAACTTTTGTCATTTTCATATTTTTGTATTGAATATAAGCCGTTGAAAAACCGTTTAGAATTATTTTATCAATTCAGATATTTACGCTATCCTGGAACGGCTAGTGCCATTTGCATATCACACCTTGTACACGCAGAAAAACCGAAGTGAACGAACGCCACGAACTGATCCGATAAACGCCGAAGGCGCCAAATCACAAGGCACATAACTCTGATTGCTTCGGCGATCATCGGCTCACTTCGGGTTTTCCGCGTGTACATGGAGTGATGTGCAAAAAGCATTCCCCGCCTGGAACCGCGTTGTTGTCATTGTGATTGCTGCCTTGTTCGGGTCGCGACAGTTAGATAAGAGACATGTTCGTCAGACGAAACACGAATTAGTTTTCTATTAAAAAAAATTAAACGGGGTAAAAGCGAGGTGCGTAATTTATTGTATTCAATGTTTTCTTTGTATTTACGTGTTTTGACTACTTTCTTTACGTTTTGTAAATACATTTCTCTGTGTGTAGGCTATGCAATTTGAAAAAAAAAAGCCAAATAATTTTATTATTTTGAAACATTTTTGTTTATTATTTATTAGTACATTATGACTATAAGAAAATAAATTATGGGAACATGACAAGTTATGGGAGGTGCCCGCCACCCTACCCATATTTAAGAATGTGCTCTAGAGTAAAAAAAGATTGGGAACCCCTGGTATATAGCGTAGTATTGTATTTATATTAAATAATATAACATCCCCAATCACCACAACACCCTGATTCTACTAATCCAAACTAAAAGTGTTTGACAAATTACTATTGTATTACTAGTAACTATTTGTTTGACTATTTGATGAAACCGAAAGTAGTTTTGTACTTATTACACAAATGTTAATAAATACTCAGTTTGGTTGAAAAATATGCTTTCTGGCAACACAAAAGAACCTTAACTCAAACATTTTAGCAATAGCTCAGGGTTTTGACTGAGAGGGACCCAAATGAACCATAAAGTATTTTTGTACTTTTCCTTTTCTGAGCAGCATTAGACCATTTTTAATAGTTTAAATTAAAGTTTTAAAATAATAAGAAATGTAATATTTTAAGAATCAATGTTTTTTAATTTGCAAATGAAAAGAACTTAAATATATATATATATATATATATATATATATATATATATATATATATATATATATATATATATATATATATATATATATATATATATATATATATATATATATATATATATATATATATATATATATATATATATATATATATGTTTACTTTGAGGCTACATTATCAACTAATACGATAAAACTAAGATATCGCCGCGTTTCGCTGGCAATTCATTAAATAATAAACCGGGAGTTATCTCCCCTAAACTTTCTCGAATATTCTTATATGAAATAACAGGGGATAGCAACTCGGGATATAGACATGATTTTTAATCCCTTTTAAATACTTACACTTTCCAAAATAGAATAAAATATCGTAGAAAAAAGAATTGCACACCAAGTGAACGCCAAATAAAATGTGCATAATAGTGCGGAGTATTATTAGTATTTTTAAAATTCACATGCGTTGTTTTTTGTTTTTTTTGAGACATTGGAAATAGCGTAAATTACTACTTCCGGTCAACGGAAATTACTCAAAATTTGATAGAAGGCAGAGAATTAGATATTTTACTTACTTGTAAAATTTCGTTTATCTATCTCAAATGGTATTTAAGTTATAGGCTTTTGAAAAATTGAAAGTAGAAAAAGTTCCACTTTCGATTATCGGAAATCGCTCAAAAGTTGATACGGGTCTACGATTTTGATATAATACTTATATATGAAATTTCATCAACCTAGCTGTAACGGTACTGGTACTCAAGTTATCATGTTTACACAGACACATACACACACAGACATACGGACACGAATGCAAAACTATGTTTTTCCGACTCAGGGAGCTGTAAAACGTCTAGATTTGCAAAATCTCGATTTTTTTTTCACGATTACAAGACTTTCTCTATACTTCGTATATACGAGAAAGTAAAAAGAGATGTGAAACATTGTGTTTTGTTTCAGGTTTGTCTCGGCTTTTTCTTACAACGGGATTGTCTTGTTGACTACGGCAATGTTTGAAAGTCCAGACGGCTGCCACGGTCAGACAAACTCTTACAATAGCTTTTACTATGCTAGTTTCAAACGTATCCCAATTTCTACGATCCCACTTGCCAGTATCCCAGTATTGCACAATCCCACTTGCCAGTATCCCAGTATTGCACAATCCCACTTGCTAGTATCTCAATCATTATAGATAATAGTTTCGCTGTCTGTCTATCTATCTATCTATCTGTCTGACAAGAACGCTCTAGAGAAAAGACAAGCAATTTAAAAACATGCATAGTAATTCGAAAAACGAAGTATGACGTCGACACATTTAGCGCACAGAGTAGAAAATAATATCAAGCCGGATAGTGCACACATTGATATGACGTCATTGATTTGGTCTAATTTGGTCTAATCTAAGTGGTTTGCGTGAAGTTTCTTTCATACAATTCTTCGGGTAGGGGCGAAGCCCCACCCCCGCGTAAGAACGTCTGAGCCCCCCCCCCCCCCCCCTCCTCTCCCCAACTCAAAAGAAATTTCCTCATCGATACTCTATAATAAAATTACCGCCTAATTAATGTGTCTAATCTAAAAAGTGGTTTTCTTGCAATTTCTTTAATGCAATTCTTCGCGTAGTGGCTATGCGCGACACCAGTGTTTCTTTCAGACTTTTTCCTCCACGGAGAGGGGTGAGGGTACTTGAAATTTTCGGGGGCGGGGGTAGAATTTTCGGGGAGGGGGCGGACACTGGAAAAAGTAAATAATTATATTTCGTTGAATGGGACGATAGACATGTTTTTTAGGGGGGGGGGGGGGGTGGGGGGGTGGTGGGGGGTGGGTGGGGGGGGGGGGTTTTAGTTTAGAGAAAAGAGACAGCACTATCAGCCTAGCGCCCGGTGTATCCTTCCTCAACGGGCCATTTTTCTCGTCTATAATAATAGTTTCGCTGTCTCTCTATCTATCTATCTGTCTGACAAGAACGCTCTAGAGAAAACACAAGGAATTTAAAAACCTGCACAGTAATTCGAAAAACGAAATATGACGTCGACACATTTAGCGTAGAGTAGAACATAATCTCAAACCAGAGAGTGCACACAGTAATGTAATGACGTCATTGAAACATTGAAAAAAAGGAAATGTTGTCTAATCTAAATGGTTTGCGTGAAGAGTTTCTTGCATACAATTCTTCGGGTAGGGGCGAAGCCCCACCCCCGCGTAAGAACGTCTGAGGGGGGTGGGGGTGGGGGTGGGGGGGGGGGGGGTTGAGTGGGGGGGTGGTTTTAATTTAGACTTTTTCCTCCCCGGAGAGGGGTGGGGGTACTTGAAATTTTCGGGGGCGGGGGTAGAATTTTCGGGGAGGGGCGGACACTGGAAAAAGTATATAATTATATTTCGTTGAATGGGACGGTAGACATGTTTTTTTAGGGGGGGGGGGGGGGGGTTGTGGGTGGGGGGTGGGGGGAGGGGGGGGGTGTGTGGGGGGGGGGATGGGGGGTGAGTGGGGGGGTGGTTTTAATTTAGACTTTTTCCTCCCCGGAGAGGGGTGGGGGGTACTTGAAATTTTCGGGGGCGGGGGTAGAATTTTCGGGGAGGGGGCGGACACTGGAAAAAGTATATAATTATATTTTGTTGAATAGGACGGTAGACATGCTTTTTTTTGGGGGGGGGGGGGGGGGGGGGGGGGTGGGGGGTGGGGGGGTGGTGGTGTGTGTGTGTGTGGGGGGGGGGGGGGGTGGGGGTGAGTGGGGGGGTGGTTTTAATTTAGACTTTTTCCTCCCCGGAGAGGGGTGAGGGTACTTGAAAATTTCGGGGGCGGGTGTAGAATTTTCGGGGAGGGGGCGGACACTGGAAAAAGTATATAATTATATTTCGTTGAATGGGACGGTAGACATGTTTTTTTGGGGGGGGGGGTGGGGGGTGGTGTGTGTGTGGGGTGGTGTGTGTAGGGGTGGGGGTGGGGGGGTGGTGTGTGGGGGGGGTGGTGTGTGGGGGGGTGGTGTGTGGGGGGGTGGTGTGTGGGGGGGTGGGGGGTGGGGGTGGGGGTGGGGGTGGTGTGTGTGGGGGGGTGGTTTTTGTTTAGAGAAAAGAGACAGCACTATCAACCTAGCGCCCGGTGTATCCTTCCTCAACGGGCCATTTTTCTCGTTAATACTAATAGTTTCGCTGTCTGTCTATCTATCTATCTGACAAGAACGCTCTAGAGAAAACACAAAGAAAATAAAAACATGCATAGTATTTCGAAAAACGAAGTATGACGTCGACACATTTAGCGCACAGAGTAGAAAATAATCTCAAACCCAGAGAGTGCTCAAAGTTATATGACGTCATTGATTTTCGCGTTAACATTGAATAAAAAGGAAATGTTGTCTAATCTTAATGGTTTGCGTGAAGAGTTTCTTGCATACAATTCTTCGGGTAGGGGCGAAGCCCCACCCCCCGCGTAAGAACGTCTGAGCCCCCCCCCCCTCGGGGAGGGGGCGGACACTGGAAAAAGTATATAATTATATTTCGTTGAATGGGACGGTAGACATGTTTTTTTTGGGGGGGGGGGGGGGTGTGGGGGGGGTGGGGGTGGGGGGTGGGGTGGTTTTAGTTTAGACTTTTTCCTCCCCAGAGAGGGGTGGGGGTACTTGAAATTTTCGGGGGCGGGGGTAGAATTTTCGGGGAAGGGGCGGACACTGGAAAAAGTATATAATTATATTTCGTTGAATGGGACGGTAGGCATGTTTTTTTTTGGGGGGGGGGGTGGAGGGGTGGGGGTGGTGGTGTGTGTGGGGGGGGCGGTGTGTGGAGGGGGTGGTGTGTGTGGGGGGTGGGGGTGGGGGGGTTGTGTGTGGGGGTGGGGTGGGGTGGGGGTGGTGTGTGGGGGGGGGGTGGGTTGGTTTTAGTTTAGAGAAAAGAGACAGCACTATCAACCTAGCGCCCGGTGTATCCTTCCTCAACGGGCCATTTTTCTCGTCTATAATAATAGTTTCGCTGTCTGTGTATCTGACAAGAACGCTCTGTCTGACAAGAACGCTCTAGAGAAAACACAAGCAATTTAAAAACATGCACAGTAATTCGAAAAACGAAATATGACGTCGACACATTTAGCGTAGAGTAGAACATAATCTCAAACCAGAGAGTGCACACAGTAATGTAATGACGTCATTGATTATCGCGTAAACATTGAAAAAAAGGAAATGTTGTCTAATCTAAATGGTTTGCGTGAAGAGTTTCTTGCATACAATTCTTCGGGTAGGGGCGAAGCCCCACCCCCCGCGTAAGAACGTCTGAGCCCCCCCCCCTCCCCAACTCAAAAGAAATTTCCTCATCGATACTCTATAATAAAATTACAGCCTAATTAATGTGTCTAATCTAAAAAGTGGTTTTCTTGCAATGGGACGGTAGACATGTTTTTTTTGGGGTGGGGGGGGGGGTTGGGGGGGGGGGGGGTTGGGGGGGGGTGGAGGGGTGGGGGGGTGGTGTGTAGGGGTGGGGAGGGGGGTGGGGGGTGGTGTATGGGGGTTGGGTTGGTTTCAGTGTTTCTTTCAGACTTTTTCCTCCCCGGAGAGGGGTGGGGGTACTTGAAATTTTCGGGGGCGGGGGTAGAATTTTCTGGGAGGGGGCGGACACTGGAAAAAGTATATAATTATATTTCGTTGAATGGGACGGTAGACATGTTTTTTTGGGGGGTGGGGGGGTGGTGGAGGTGTGGGGGGGTGGTGTGTGGGGTGGGGGGTGGGGGGGATGGGGGGTGGTGTGTGGGGGGGGGTGGGGGGTGGTGTGTGGGGGGGTGGGTTGGTTTCAGTGTTTCTTTCAGACTTTTTCCTCCCCGGAGAGGGGTGGGGGTACTTGAAATTTTCGGGGGCGGGGGTAGAATTTTCTGGGAGGGGGCGGACACTGGAAAAAGTATATAATTATATTTCGTTGAATGGGACGGTAGACATGTTTTTTTGGGGGGTGGGGGGTGGTGGAGGTGTGGGGGGGTGGTGTGGGGGGTGGGGGGTGGTGTGTGGGGGGGGTGGGGGTGGTGTGTGGGGGGGTGGGTTGGTTTCAGTGTTTCTTTCAGACTTTTTCCTCCCCGGAGAGGGGTGGGGGTACTTGAAATTTTCGGGGGCGGGGGTAGAATTTTCTGGGAGGGGGCGGACACTGGAAAAAGTATATAATTATATTTCGTTGAATGGGACGGTAGACATGTTTTTTTTTGGGGTGGGGGGTGGGGGGGCGGTGTGTGGAGGGGGTGGTGTGTGGGGGTGAGGGGTGGGGGTGGGGGTGGTGTGTGGTGGGGGTGGGGGTGGTGTGTGGGGGTGGGGTGGGGGTGGTGTGTGGGGGGGTGGGTTGGTTTTAGTTTAGAGAAAAGAGACAGCACTATCAGCCTAGCGCCCGTTGTACCCTTCCTCAACGGGCCATTTTTCTCGTGTTAAATATTAGCCGATTTACTAGAATATCAACGATTTGCAAGTATCCCCATGTTATATTTACCAATTAGCTAGGATCCCAACATTACATTTTACCTAATTTACTAGTATCCCAATGTTACATTTTACCCAATTTACTAGTATCCCAATGTTACATTTTACCCAATTTACTAGTATCCCAATGTTACATTTTAGCCAATTTGCTAGTATCTCAATGTTATATTTCAGCTGAGTTGCGAATATCCCAAAATTAAATTTTAGCCTATTTGGGAGTATTCCAATTTACAATACAAATATTAAAACATGCATAACGCTAAGTTTTACAAATTAAATCAGGTACCGACGTGAAGATAAGTGACTTTTCTACTTGCTTTCTTGAATGCAAATCCTTAACCACTGAAGACTACATAGACCTGACGTGGACAACTGTTGCTGAATTCCCAGGTTTATATAAATATACATATAAGCTATATTTAGTTATTTAGCAAGTGTATGGGTCAATGAGAGCAAAGCAAATTAAACACCCACAAATCACAAACTACTACCACTAGTATAATGATCCTGCATAAACTATGTATGTTGTTCTATTTTAGGACTGTTCCTCACAGCTTTTTTACTCAATAAAATTGGTAGGAAAAAAACTATGATAGTAGAGTTTGGCATCTTTGCTGTCGTCGTTCTATTGGTCAATTTCTGCATGACAAGGTAATTATTTTATTGTTGATCTATTACATTTTTTTTTTAAATTTTAACTTCATTGTATTTTGGGCATTTTAACCTATATTTATTAACTGTAAAATGTCATGCTTCCATCTAGACTCCGAGGCGTAGCGAAAAATGGGGGGGGGGGGGGGTACATATGTCCCCGGGCGCCGACCCTAGGGGCGCCAAAATGGGTTGAAAAAAAATTTCAAGTTCATTTTAGCTGCAGTTTTGAATTATAAACATTAAAAAATATATGGTAGGGGGCGCCAAATTGAAAGTTTGTCCTCAGGCGCAGGGAGGGGTCGCTACGCCTCTGTCTAGACGAAGTGTGCGCAAGGACTTCACGGTTGTGTTTTTACCTTCTATTTCAGAGCTCTTTTGACATTTCTTTTGTTTGTTGCAAGGGCTTTTATTTCAGGGGCATTTCAGGGTGCTTATGTTTATACTCCTGAGGTAAGTGCTCGTGATTTTAGAGAGTATTTGTATGACAGTGCCCAAAGCATTTACGTGCATGAAACCACTACCTTCGAGCAGAGAACGATATTGTGCTTGCTAAAATATTATTAGGAGATAAGGCCGCAGCCCAAGGAAAGGGAGTAGACATAATCAAATTTTAAAATTGTATAATCAAGTACAACGTGTTAAAATCTGTTGCGCAGAGTATACAATCTATTTGTTAATTATTTAGCTACTAAAAATATCAGTTAAATGTAACGTTTTGAATGTATGTGATGTTGAGGCAATTATTAAAATAAGGATCGAGTTTTTAGCATAATATGGCTTATAAGTCTCGGTCTCTCTCGCTTAAAATTCGAAATGTCGTTAGGGAGAATATTTTCGCACTAAATTCATTGTTTTGAACGTGATTCTAATTAATAACAAAAATCCTGGCGGCTATTTGTTTCTAGGCCTCGTTTCAATATTTTAGAATACCAAGAGTATCCTAAATGCAATAGTTATAAAAATGGTACTAATTATAGGGGCGTCAAACTAATTTTTTTAAAACGGTCTCAGAGCTTTTTTGAAAGTTGCTATGTCAAGAATTCATTATTCTAAAATAGTGGGGTACTAAATTAGTTCATATATTACAAGTAGTAAAAAAAAGTTATGACGTTTTAAAAAGTTGGTTTTTAACATTTTTTTTTCCAACTCCCTAGATGGTGCCATGTTTGAGAGGTTATATCTGTAAAATTATATCTCACAAACACAATCTTTTGAACTCAAAACACACATACACAGGGAACTGACTCAATCTTTTTCAAACCTCAAAAATAAGTACATCATTTAAATTAATTGCATTGACATTGGCTTTTCTCACTTTTGGATAAAATTAAACAGGGAAGTAACAAATTTTGTACATTTTTAAAACATATTTGATAAGTATATCAAAAACGCTTTTTTTTTTAATTTAAGTAACATGTATGCCTATAACAAGTACGTTCAGAAAAGTGCAGAGGTTCACAATCTGTCGAAAATGCGTCTTTTAAAAAATAAACCCTAAACTTTCTCGAATATTCTTATATAGACATAATTTTTAATCCTTTTTTAATTACTTAAACTTTTAAAAATAGAATAGAATCTCGTAGAAAAAGAATTTCGTACCAAGTGAACGCCAAATAATATGTCTAATAGTGTGGAATATTATTTGTACATTAAAAATTCAAATGCGATTTTGAGAAATCGGAAATAGCGTCAATTACTACTTCCGGTCAACGGAAATTACTTAAAATTTGATAGAAGGCAGAGAATTAGATCTTTTACTTACAGGTGAAATTTCACTTATCTATCTTAAACAGTGCTCAAGGTATAGGCTTTTGAAAAATTTAAAAGTAGGTTAAGTTCCATTTCCGGTAACCGGAAATCGCTGAAATTTGATACAGAACTACAAATTTTATATAATTCATACACATACAGACATACGGACAGAACAGCAAAGCCCAGTTTTTTCGACTGGATTACGCATAGAACGCCGAAATTTTGATAAATCTGCATTTATAATTTATGCCCGATTAAAATAAGTCCCCTATCATCTGTGTATGATGAAGTAACTGAGGTATAAAACTATGAAATCTCAAAATTTCATGTGATTTTTGTGCACGATTACAATACTTCCTCTATACTCCAGAGGCGTAGCAACCCTTTCCGGCGCCCGGGGACAAACTTTCAATTTGGCGCCCCCCCCCCCCACGGGAACAAATTTTCAATTTGCACCCCACCTCAAACATTCGATTTGCACACACCCCATTTGTTTTTCCAACCCATTTTGGCGCCCCCAAGGGCGGCGCCTGGGGACATATGTACCCCCCCCCCCCCTCGCTACGCCTCTGCTATACTCTGTATACGAGAAAGTAAAAATTATAAAAAATAAATTATGACACATATAGTATATCAGGGTACATAGAAATATAGAATAACCATATCTCTTAACGGGAAAACAGTCTGTGTCTGAGATTGATTTATATGCGATCCAATGGTGGCTGGAGCAGTGCTAGGGTCACATAAACAAAACATTTTTTGTTGAAATAATTATTAGTCTCAAGAACCAGTATTACATTTAAAAGTAAGAACATCCTAATATATAAAAAGCCTTGTGCGCTCTTCTCTCTCTCTCTCTCTCTCTGTCTGTCCGCAAAATATTTTCGCCGGACATCACGTCAGAATCGGCAGCGATATATGGATACCTTTATACGGACTTTTATTCAAAATAATATGTTAGATGTTTTAAATGTATAACCACAATTTTATTTAAAGAAGAAAAATAAAAAATAAAGGCGTATTCGAATGTAGAGAAACAGTATTATTTATGCAACCGGAAAAGTGTATAAACTTGGGAGAAGAACGCATTTAACAATGACGTCGCTTATTGTTTACACTAAATAAAACGAGAGCACAAAACTGATGACGTCATCTTCCGAGTTTAGAATTTTTAAAAAATTAACTATTTCATTCAAATATGATTTAGAGCTATGTACGCTATGAAATGTATACAATACGATTTTCTCGGTCTAAACTTAAAAAGATTATTTTATCTATTTGGATTCTAGATCTAGATATTGATCTAGATCTAGATATTCTAGATATTCATATAGATCTAGAGATTCTAGATCTAGAGATTCTAGATCTAGAGATTCTAGATCTAGATCTAGATGATCTATAAAGCAAAGTTGTCGGGTGCCCGACAGGGCACTTCCCGGCGCCGCAGGCGCTTCAAATTTGGCAGGATCTTGCCTTGGGGCAACAGAACACGGGGGCCGGTTGGCCGAAAAGTCTACGATGAGGGGGTCAAAACTGACCTCGACTGACCGGCGCCTTATATGGGCGAATTAATTAAGCATTCAAATTCTCAATGTTTTCGAAAGCCTAAGCGAAGCTGGGCAGCATGCCTAGTTTATTTAGAATGCCTCAGGGGATGAATCTTTATGTTATAAAAGTGTATTTATACATAGTTGATTCCATAATTATTGCGATATGGTAGGGCTAACCAAAATACACTTGCTTATTAAATACAACTACGAAGGCTAAATACATAACCACACTAGTCTTGCATTCTCACCTTAGTACCTTAACAGTCGTTCTTCACAACTATAATCTGTAAATATGCAATCAATAGCCACCATAAACTGTCAGCATAATTTAGAGGATAAGTTTTGTTCTGTTTTCAAGTTGGTAAATTTAAAAAAGATTTACCGTGGCGTAGCACGGGTATGCAGCTAACGATCACGTGACCTTTTATATTTAACAGATAAAAAATATTCAGCTTTCATAATAATAATATTTTTACTAATATTTAGGAAGAGATCCACGTTTTTTCTTTATAGTTATTTAAATAGTAGTGTATTATTATATATTTAAATAAAATAATTTATTTTCTACTTTTTAGTGCATTATTACATAAAAGCTTGTTATTAGAACGTTTTTTATGATTTTCTTAAAAAAAATTATTTACAATAGTTCCATGGCTAAAAACTTTAGCGCACCTAATGAACAGGATAACGCGCGTATGATAGTGCGGAATAGTTGGATACAACTGCCTACTGATTTGGACACAATTTTAACTAACTCATACAAAAATTACTTAGGAATCAAATTAAGTCAAAAAAAATTTAATGTCCGATTGTATTCTCTTCATATTTTGACCCACGAGCCAACTTTGAAACGAATCTGTCACTTAGAAGTGCCCGAAATTTGCTCGATGCGTTTCGATCTATGACGACTGACGGTAGACTGGACGAGGAAGCAATTTAAATAAAAGCTTGTAAAAATATTTACATTTCGTTTGAAAAATACTAGATCTAGCTGGCAAGTCCGAGAGCGAGAAGTTAGTGACCTACTTATAAGCTATAATTCATTATCACAACGGTACATAAACACCTAAAATTTGCTCAACACTTTTTTATTCGGACTATGACCGGTCGCACCAAGTCAGTTCGCTAAGAAATATTTCGGACATTGACCAGTAATGTGAGGGGATATTGGCCACGTCGAAAACTGGCCAGGAAGTTTTTTTTTATATTAATTAATTATTTTTTTTAAACTTGCATTAGTGTATGTTATTAGTTAATGAAAACTTAGATGAATGTGTATGATGGCCGGTTTTGTGTTGATAAGAATAAGAGTGGGCGCTGTTTTGATTTTAAAAAGACATTGCCGCTCCAGACTACAGAAGCATGATTTATACCAGACTGAATGAATTAATCGTGAAAAACTAGTCTCATAATTAACACCTAGAGTCATGATCATCGGCTGCAATATATACCTCCTTTCTTCAGGTTTATCCTACAACTATGCGAGCACTAGGCCTTGGTACCTGCAGTGGCATGGCTCGTTTAGGCGCTATAGTGACGCCTTTCGTCGCGCAGGTAAATATTTAATAATTAGTATATAACAGGCATTCCATGTATGCTTTGGTAGCTCTAGGTGTATGATTGTATGAGATAAAATTATGTGGCCAATTGAATCACCCCTCTAGGATTATGGTTGTATGAGATAAAATGTGGCCAATTGAATCATCCCTCTAGGATTATGGTTGTATGAGATAAAATTATGTGGCCAATTGAATCACCCCTCTAGGATTATGGTTGTATGAGATAAAATTATGTGGCCAATTGAATCACCCCTCTAGGATTATGGTTGTATGAGATAAAATTATGTGGCCAATTGAATCACCCCTCTAGGATTATGGTTGTATGAGATAAAATTATATGGCCAATTGAATCACCCCTCTAGGATTATGGTTGTATGAGATAAAATTATGTGGCCAATTGAATCACCCCTCTAGGATTATGGTTGTATGAGATAAAATTATATGGCCAATTCAATCATCCCTCTAGGATTATGGTTGTATGAGATAAAACTATGTGGCCAATTGAATCACCCCTCTAGGATTATGGTTGTATGAGATAAAATTATATGGCCAATTCAATCATCCCTCTAGGTCTTGCTCAAGGAGTCAGCCTATGCTGCCATTTCTTTATACGGCGGGATGTCAATCGTTGCCGGTATCGCGGCTTTTCTCCTACCCATTGAAACAAAAGGACAAGATCTGAAGGTAAATGCACGTTCTTAGGTTGGGTTTTAAGCTAAAGTATTAACTAGTGGAGAAGACGGGCGATCAAAATGAAAACGGTTGTATTTCTTGGGTCTAAGGCTAAAGTATTAACTAGTGGAGAAGACGGGCGATCTAAACATATATGGTTGTATTTCTTGGGTCTAAGGCTAAAGTATTAACTAGTGGAGAAGACGGGCGATCTAAACATATACGGTTGTATTTCTTGGGTCTAAGGCTAAAGTATTAACTAGTGGAGAAGACGGGCGATCTAAACGTATACGGTTGTATTTCTTGGGTCTCAAACTAAAGTATTGACTAGTGGAGAAGACGGGCGATCTAAACATATATGGTTGTATTTCTTGGGTCTTAGGCTAAAGCAGGGGTCTCCAAACTACGGCCCGCGGGCCGGATGCGGCCCGCGAGGTCCTCTCATCCGGCCCGCTGAGATATTTTTGTTCTTGGAAAAAAATGTTTGTTAGAGGTGGCTGAGGAACTTTGACCAGACATTTTTTTTTTAATTTGAATATGTAGCTTTGGGTGCAAATACCATTTCCCTCCTTGAAAACTGCAAACAAGTTTCGCAATTTTTCAATTGCATATGAAATGGATGAGTCGCTGGACAGTTGTTCCATGTTTTTGGAACAAGTACAGGGCAACAACTTGACGCACTTTCAGCTGTGCAAGGTCTTCATGGATGAAGCAACAGCTCTGTTTTCCACATCATTTGCATGCGAGATCATCAAGGACTTCCAGCTGCAGTTTTCTGACAAGGATTCAAAGGCAGAAGAAGTGAGACTGTTTCAAACCCCAATCGAAGCAAATGTAACCAGTTGCCCAAATGAACTGCAGATTGAGGTCATTGAATTGCAAGCAAATGACCTCCTTAGAGACAGGTTTAAAAAATGGCGGATGGGGTTTTAGCCCAAGGAGAACAAACTTGGACCTCGAGTGTGTTGTCGGTCCCCGACAGTGTTTCTTTCAGACCTTTTCTCCTGGGGGGGGGGGGATTTTAAAAATGTATATGTTTCTATATAAATTAGATTTCGTTGGGGGGGGGGGGGGGACTACACCATCCCAAAGAGATGCATGGAAGAAATTCTGGCCCCCGAACTGATATTTGATAGTTAATGCGGCCCTCGGGCTGAAAAGTTTGGAGACCTCTGCTCTATAGTACACTTAAAAAACTGTAGTTAACTAAACTGTAATAAAGCGTAATCCTTTTTCTCTCGCTTTGCAGGAATCTGGTGCTGAAGTACCGAAAAGAAAGCAGAAAACCTTAGATTTTTCGTAGCTCTATAAGAATCCAACCATAGCAGTTTAAGAATTAAAAACTGATGGATTGCCCGTGCTAACTAGTGTTAGCAATCTAGGCTACATTTTATACCTATATTCTCAATTTAATCAATATTTATGACTATATATATATATATATATATATATATATATATATATATATACTTTCATTTATATGTATCAGAATTATTCATTTAATATAATATAATAGCAATACCGATTCTTTTTTATAATACCAAAGTTTGGTGAATCTTTTTAAATGTACAGACTGTGGAACAGAACCAAACTAAACACAAAAGAAAACGCAAACACAACGTAAACACAAACTCCAAAAAAAAAACGCTAACACAAACATAACCCAAACACAAAAGAAAACATAAAACAAACACAAACGAAAACACAACACACAAACAGTAACACAAACACAAAGGAAAACACAAACGCAAAAACAACGCAAAGGCAAACACAAACGCACACGCAAATGCAATAAAACACAAACGAAAACTCAAACCAAACACAAACCTAAACGCAAACAATAACGCATAGCATAAACACAACTTAAATGCAATCATTTTATTTTCAACAAAAGTCCGTATCTCCATTTATCGCTTAACATACTGATCACATAGCTTCAAATTTTTTGCGGACAGAGGGAGAGAGAGAGAGAGAGAGATGTGTTATAAATGTCACAATACGCATACAACCTACGCACATTTTATTATATTTAATCAATCTAAGTTGATTCGCATTTTCTGAATATTTAATACATAAAAGTATTAACAAATTCCGTACAAATATATCTTGGTGACTTTTTTCCCTGTCTTTTTACTTTCTCGTATTTACGAAGTATAGAGAAAGTCTTGTAATCGTGCAAAAATAAAATAGAGATTTTCACAAATCTCGACGTTTTACACCTCACTGATACGGAAAAACATAATTTTGCAATCTTGTCTGTGTGTGTGTGTGTCTGTCTGTGTGTAAACACGATAACTTGAGTACCGTTATAGCTAGGTTGATGAAATTTCATATATAAGTATTATATCAAAATCGTAGATCCTTATCAACTTTTGAGCGATTTCCACTAACCAGAAGTGGTACTTTTTCTACTTTGAATTTTTCAAAAGCCTATAATTTGAGTACTATTTCAGATAGATAAATGAAATTTCACATGTAAGTAAAAGATCTAATTCTCTACCTTCTGTCAAATTTTGAGTAATTTCCGTTGACCGGAAGTACTAATTTACGCTATTTCCGATTTCTCAAAAAACGCATGTAAATTTATAAAGTATTAATAATATTGCGCACTATTATGCACATTTTGTTTTGGCGTTCACTTGGTGCGCAATTCTTTTTTCTACTAGATTTTATTCTATTTTTAAAAGTTTAATTAAACAAAAATCATGTCTATATTCCAAGTTATATAAGAATATTCGAGAAAGTTTGGGGGAGATCACTCCCGGTTTATTTTTTCATGTGACTTTTTTTCTGTATTTTTTTCCCGTGACTTTTTTCCAACAATTAATTACAACATATTTTTATAATCTTTTTAGAATAGCTGAATATTTTCATCTGTTAAATGTAAATTGTCACGCGATCGTTTATTTCGTCGCAAGTGTCAACATTTTATGGGTATAGTTTAAAAAAATTGAGTCTGTTCTCTGTTTAAAGTGTTGGAAAAGAAGTTAAAAACCATTTTTTAAAACGTCATAACTTTTTTACAACTTGAGATATATGAACAAATTTAGTGCCCACTATCTTAGAATCAGGAGTTCTTGACATAGAAACTTTTTAAAAAGCTCTGGGACCGTTTTAAAAAATATGTTTGACACCCCTGTTTCTAGACAAAGACTTCCATATCTAGGAAGGGGGAAAGTGTATGAAGATGTTTGTGAAACCAGTGTATATGCACATAAAATGAATAACTAGCATGTACTCACCGGCGCCCATAATTTAGTGGTATCCTAAATTTTGGGTAGTTTTCATCTGGAGTTGTGTGGATGCGCTTTCTCCGTCAAGATTTTAAAGGTGTATTTCGTGGTTAACCCATTGTTACTCATGACTGATGAATAGTTGTTTTTTTTCTAATCCCATTGTTCTTGACAATTTGTATCTGTGTATTCAGAACAATGCTCAACACAGGCTACTGTATGCGGTATATAGAACAGGTGGACCCACACAAGTATAAAGAACAAGACTTAGCAGTGTCCATGTAAATGTACAACTTTTTAATCTACTCGGCTATTTGAGGTCAATGGAAAAAAATGTGTTTAATAATAAGGGGTTATGAACAAGAGTTTAGATACCATTGATCCCAGTACAAAAAGTTGCATTTCGTACATGCATTTTACATCAACACCCTGTGCTACAGTTGTGTACATGCAGCTTTTTGTCAGTGTGATTGAACAGACTTGTCAAACCAATCAAGACGAGGGGTTCATAATTTAGAACAGCAATCAATGGTTACTGAATATTTTCAATGTACACAAAACCAGAGTTTAGCCAATGGCTGACTTTTGAAAAGTGTTACAGAAAAATTGTACGGAAGTGTTGACCATCAATGTTTCCTCAGCTCAGCCTAGGTCAATGTTTCAAATTATGCCAGTGGAGTTCATTTTAAATTCATAATATAAGAAAAAGGCGCCTCAACTCCCTTACGAAAGTATCTGATAGTAATTCAGTAAATAACTAATAGTTTGTTGTTTTTTTTTTGGGGGGGGGGGGGGGGGTTGTGTGCCGACGGCAGCTGTTATAAACTATTCTCTGTTTACACTCTTTCACCAATCTGCCTACGTCATCTCAAAAGTGGGATTAATTAATAATGAGCTTAGTTGGGATGGCACAATCGATCTTTACAGAACTACAGCCGGCCCGATATAAGGTCACCGCTGACAGACAGACACTACATGGTTCGTCCTCCACACAAAGCACACTAAAGAGCACAAACCAGAATTGACATTTACAACAGCAGTAAGCAAAAACATTTTCAATACAATATGAACATACTGACTTTAGGCAACAGGAGTGAATAGCAAATATACATTATTACTTTAGGCAACAGGAGTGAATAGCAAATATACATTTTTACTTTAGGCAACAGGAGTGAATAGCAAATATCCATTATTACTTTAGGCAACAGGAGTGAATAGCAAATATACATTATTACTTTAGGCAACAGGAGCAAGTAGAGTATGAACATGACAATTAAACAACAGTAGCGGTTTTACTATGCAACTGTTAACTTTGTAGTTGCATGTGTGTTTTTCTTTTTATTTTTTGCTGAAAATCAGTTCAAACAATCTTTTGTGAAGACTTAAGTCAGTGGCTTTACGAAATAAACAGCGCACACACAAATCTGATAAGCATGCGCTCGTACAGATTTTAAAAGCTTTTATGCCGTACGAAGTGTCATGTCGATTTCTTACAACGTCGTATAAGAAACCTATTAGACTGGACCAGCGATCTACTGAAACAATACAGTGACGGTCAATTAAAGCTATCCTATGGTTTGAAGTGTACTTAGGTGTGGTATACTGATTCTATATCAGGCATTGGGTCTGATGGTTGATAAGTGTATTTAGGCTCTACTACATTAACTCGTTGAGTCATACAGTCTGGTGTTACATGAACTCGTTGATACTATCATAAAGACTGGTGTTACATTAACTCGTTGATACTATCATAAAGACTGGTGTTACATGAACTCGTTGATACTATCATAAAGACTGGTGTTACATGAAATCGTTGATACTATCATAAAGACTGGTGTTACATTAACTCGTTGATACTATCATAAAGACTTGTGTTACATTAACTCGTTGATACTATCATAAAGACTGGTGTTACATTAACTCGTTGATACTATCATAAAGACTGGTGTTACATGAACTCGTTGATACTATCATAAAGACTGGTGTTACATGAAATCGTTGATACTATCATAAAGACTGGTGTTACATTAACTCGTTGATACTATCATAAAGACTTGTGTTACATTAACTCGTTGATACTATCATAAAGACTGGTGTTACATTAACTCGTTGATACTATCATAAAGACTGGTGTTACATGAACTCGTTGATACTATCATAAAGACTGGTGTTACATTAACTCGTTGATACTATCATAAAGACTGGTGTTACATTAACTCGGTGAGACTATCATAAAGACTGGTGTTACATTAACTCGTTGATACTATCATAAAGACTGGTGTTACATGAACTCGTTGATACTATCATAAAGACTGGTGTTACATTAACTCGGTGAGACTATCATAAAGACTGATGCCTACACAAGTAAAACCCGAGTCAATCAAAACATAAGCCTACACAAGTAAAAACCCGAGTCAATCAAAACATAGGCCTACACAAGTAAAACCCGAGTCAATCAAAACATAAGCCTACACAAGTAAAACCCGAGTCAATCAAAACATAGACCTACACAAGTAAAACCCGAGTCAATCAAAACATAAGCCTACACAAGTAAAACCCGAGTCAATCAAAACATAAGCCTACACAAGTAAAACCCGAGTCAATCAAAACATAAGCCTACACAAGTAAAACCCGAGTCAATCAAAACATAGGCCTACACAAGTAAAACCCGAGTCAATCAAAACATAAGCCTACACAAGTAAAACCCGAGTCAATCAAAACATAGGCCTACACAAGTAAAACCCGAGTCAATCAAAACATAGGCCTACACAAGTAAAACCCGAGTCAATCAAAACATAAGCCTACACAAGTAAAACCCGAGTCAATCAAAACATAAGCCTACACAAGTAAAACCCGAGTCAATCAAAACATAAGCCTACACAAGTAAAACCCGAGTCAATCAAAACATAGGCCTACACAAGTAAAACCCGAGTCAATCAAAACATAAGCCTACACAAGTAAAACCCGAGTCAATCAAAACATAGGCCTACACAAGTAAAACCCGAGCCAATCAAAACATAGGCCTACACAAGTAAAACCCGAGTCAATCAAAACATAGGCCTACACAAGTAAAACCCGAGTCAATCAAAACATAAGCCTACACAAGTAAAACCCGAGTCGATCAAAACATAAGCCTACACAAGTAAAACCCGAGTCAATCAAAACATAAGCCTACACAAGTAAAACCCGAGTCAATCAAAACATGAGCCTACACAAGTAAAACCCGAGTCAATCAAAACATAAGCCTACACAAGTAAAACCCGAGTCAAACAAAACATAGGCCTACACAACTGAAGCCCGCCAATTAAAAAAAAACATGATGTAGAAAACTGTTATTCTAAAACTTAAGATGTAGGAAAATCGTTATTCTATAACTTTGGACAAGAAAAAGTGTTATTCTATAACTTTAGACAAGATGTAGGAAAATCATTATTCTATAACTTATGACCGGATGACGAAGGAAAATCATTATTCTATAACTTATGACCGGATGACGAAGGAAAATTGTTTTTCTATAACTTGTGACAAGATGACCTAGAAAAATTGTTTTTCTATAACTTGTGACATGATGTAGAAAAACGAGTCTATTTTTAGCGAAATCTCTGCTTAAATCAACAAACAATATTTACATTAAAAAATATCCACATGCATCCTAAGTCATTAGTGAATCGATGAGAAGGGAAGAAAACGAAGACGCCTCTTACTACGTGCTCCCACGGTTAGAAAAGAATACACCACCTAACAAATCTCCCAGCTTTCTATTATCCACTGGACTCACACTTGACTAAGCGCTACATCCCCGTTGGTTTAGAAAAAGCCCAAGTGAACGTGTAAGAGAATCGTTATTTGCCCGTGTCAGTGCCAGGCACATAGCACTTCTGTCTTCTACGTCCGCGCATCTTATTGATTTTCCCAACAAACTGTGAATGCGATGCATGTAAGTCTGGTGTCTAATCAACAAGCTATGTGTCAGTTTGCCATATTAACAATCTCTCTCATCCCTAGTAGACTAAACAACTTGTTTTTAATGAGTTACATCAGCAAGCGTACACATTTTTATTTTAAAGAGACACATAACAATATGGAGATAAAGTCAGAGAGGGGGGGGGGAAGAAATCTTAACCCTTATCCTACTACATGTGTGACGTTTGTTGTTGATTTTTTAAATTGCTAAAATGTATTAACAATTATATTCTAAAAATATGTTTCATTGTATTTGGAAATGTTAAGACAATTGTATTTGTGTGTGTTTTGTGAAAAATTTAAATTAATAAAAAAGTTTAAGCGCCAGTTTTGTTAGACTTGTCAAAATGGCGGGGAAAAAGAAAACACCATCATCGGTAAGTGCATAACTTCATAAATATTAACATTCTAACATTGGGAACTTCTAGCAGCAGTGGCGTAGCCAGGATCGTCTCAAGGGGGGGGTCCAATTTTTACCCGGGGACAAACTTTCGATTTGCACCCCACCCCCACCCCTCAAATTTTGATTTGCACCCCCCCCCACCCCTCAAACTTTCGATTTGCACCCCCCTCATACTTTATATATACCGAGGGGTCTATGGGGGGGTTATGACCCCCCTGCCTACGCCACTGTCTAGCAGTACCATATTTCTATAAAGTAAAACCTTTAGAATAATATTTTTAACTACTTCGTTCTCTTTAGTCTTTAGTGTAAAACAAGACGTGTACCAAAGGTGGGACACCAGCAACGAATGGTCCCATGTAGATTGTTGATCAAAAGACCGTCCCACTTAAGGGACACTAGCAAGAAATACAGACGTAATTAATTATATTAAATTTTAATGGTTAATTTAAGGTGAAGTTCGCTGCTGTATATATAAATATTTAATTACGACCTAGACCTAAATATGTGTTACATATTATTTTATAAAAATGTATAAATATGCTAATTACGCCTTTTGAAAAGTAAATTATAAAAAATAAATTATGACACCTACAGTACATCTGCGATTATATGCGATTCAATGGTGGCTGGAACAGTGTTAGGGTACCCATAATGAAAATATTTTTTGTTGAAATAATAGTCTCTAGAACCAGTAGTCCATTTAAAAGTAAGAACATTTATTTAGAATGCCTCAGTCGATGTATCTTTGTGTTATAAACATGTATCTATACATAGCTAGTTCTACAATTATTGCGATATGGTAGGGCTACACTAAAATACACTTGCTTATTAAATACAACTACGTAGGCTAAACAGATAACCACGCTAGTATTGCATTCTCACCTTAATATCTTAACAGTCGTTCTTCACTTCTATAACATGTAAATATGTAATCAATAACCACCTTAAACGGTCGATATAACTGAGAGGTTTTTTTGTAGACATTCTTTTTAAAGGGCTCTAATAATGGTTTATTTCCAAGCTGAGTGTAAATACATCTGCACAAGTGCACTAATCATTAATATATATATTCACATTGTTACAACTGTAGTAAAGAGCTCGCCCACCCCCCACCCCCCTCCAATTCCAGGCGATTATTGGAGGCATTAACATAAAATCTAGATGAAATTGAAATTATTCCCAAAGGATATAGAGTTAAAGAACACACTAACACGCTAAATGGTCGACTTTTTGGTAATGTAAAGTATTTCAAGCTACACACCACGTGCTATTTAGTTTAAAATCATCGCTAAAACCCAAACCATCCATGGACTAGGCGGGGTTTTCTAGTATACCCGTATATTGTTGACACTTGCGACGAAATGGACGATCGCGTGACCTTTTACATTTTACAGATGAAAATATTCAGCTATTCTAAAAAGATTATAAAAATATGTTGTAATTAATTGTAGAAAAAAAGTCAAAGGAAAAGAAAACACGAGAGGGGGGGGGGGTGGAAACAGAAAAAAGTCACAGGGAAAAAAAACACATGAAAAAAGGTCTCCAATATATATTTGCATGGAATTTGTTAATACTTTTATGTATTAAATATTCAGAAAGTGCAAATCAACTTAGATTAATTAAGTATAATGAAATGTGCATATGTTGTATGCGTATAGTGAAATTTATAACACATGTAAATATTTAGTGTGAAGTATTTACGTTTTAATTCCTTGATACATATAATATTTAATATAATTTAATAAAATGTTTCAACTTTCTCCTTTTCATAAAATTTGTTAAATACTAACTTTAAATTAGCGCGAAAATGCATCAAGACGTAGTTAATGTGACTTGCTGCCCTCAACTCACTGCGGCAATAGGGCAACCACCTGTACTTCCCACATTTATCACACGCATTACTTAACAAAGGAAAGGATCAAAGCAGAAACCCGACATGAGACAATAGCTGTCATTGATGCAAAACGTCAACAACACACAATATGGACGGACAAGGCTGATTGGGGAGAAGCCGACCAAGGAATGGCAAAAAAAAATGCAAAACACAATGATGTGCCTAAATTGGTTTATAATTAACATTTCTAGAGTTGAACTAAATTCATTACAAAAGTTGTTGTTGCCGTGTAATTTAGGTTACAGTATTTTTACTTATTAGTGTTATAAACCACAATGCTTTTATCGTTTATAAAAATGCTAAAAACAGCAACAACCCACATTAATAAACACACAAAATTTTACAATTCTTAACAATAAAAATAAAATAATATTAAAGCAAAGATTTTTATGACTTTTTTTCTGTGACTTTATTTCTGTGACTTTTTTCCAAAAATAATTTTCTTGTGACTTTTCTGTGACTTTTTTTCTAGCAAAAATTGACTTTTTTGTTTTTGTTTTTTTTCTTGTGATTTTTTTCCGTTCACTATTTGGCATACCTATTATTGTCATGACTAAATATTATTCCCCTCCTAACGGTCTACCTTATCAGTTTTACTTATACGAGCCGACCCGCGGCGTATCATACGCCGCTATTTAGTTGATTTATTTTCTACTTTCAGTAATTCATAATTTGTGAATTCGACAGTACCAATGCTGCCACTGAAAATATTTGCTTTAAAACACTAACCCCCCTCCTTTCCCCTAACCCCGACCCTACACCCCCCCCCCCCCCCCCCCCCACCCGTGAAAGCAGCCTCCTCTTAGTTACCTCCTGTAAGTTTAAAGTCGGTTCAAACTTAATTATCTGCCCCTAATAGCCGTCACTAAACCTGGCTGTACGGTTTGTAAACATTAACGTGACCACAGCTCAGCAGACCATGTGGGGGTGGGGTAGGGTGGTAGTGATAGTGATAGAGAGAAAGAGAGGGGACTGTAAGGAGGCGCTTGCAGCTTGTTTTCTAACGGCTTGCAGAGGAGAATTATATATACGAGCTGACCCGCTGCGTATCATACGCCGCTATTTAGTTGTTTTTTTTTCTACTTTTCAGTAATTTATAATTTGTGAATTCGACAGTACCAATGCTGCCATTGAAAATATTTGCTTAAAAACACTAACCCCCCCCCCCCCCCCCCCGTGAAAGCAGCCTCCTCTTAGTTACCTCCTGTAAGTTTAAAGTCGGTTCAAACTTAATTATCTGCCCCTAATAGCCGTCACTAAACCTGGCTGTACGGTTTGTAAACATTAACGTGACCACAGCTCAGCAGACCATGTGGGGGTGGGGTAGGGTGGTAGTGATAGTGATAGTGATAGAGAGAAAGAGAGCGGACTGTAAGGAGGCGCTTGCAGCTTGTTTTCTAACGGCTCGCAGAGGATAATTATATATACGAGCTGACCCGCTGCGTATCATACGCCGCTATTTAGTTGGTTTTTTTTTTCTACTTTTCAGTAATTTATAATTTGTGAATTCGACAGTACCAATGCTGCCATTGAAAATATTTGCTTAAAAACACTACCCCCCCCCCCCCCACGTGAAAGCAGCCTCCTCTTAGTTACCTCCTCTAAGTTTAAAATCGTTTCAAACTAAATTATCTGCCCCTAATAGCCGTCACCAAACCCGTCTCTATGATTGTAAAATGTAAACAGAGTGAACGCCGCTCACCAGATCATGTGGGGGTGGGGTGGGGGTGGTAGTGATAGAGAGGAAGAGAGGGGACTGCAAAGGCGCGCTTGCAGCTTGTTTTCTAACTGATCCCAGAAGAGAATTATATATATAGATAGATAGATAATTTTTACGATATTCTCTAAGAAAATTGCTGAAGCCAGAATAGTAACTTCGGTTGGTGAGGTGCCTACATAGATGCGAGCTATGAAAACACAATACTGACCGCTAGAGACTGATCTGGGTCCTGGAAATTAAATGTCCAGGAAAGATGCATATGGTGAACAAATCATACAACAAATGACGAGGTTCGTGAAAGATTCATCAATGTGATCAGTACTTTTCTTTGGCATCGTCGGGGCAAAAATACTTAGATGGTATGGACAGGGAACATGACCCAGCAGCTTTTCGACGGCGATGGTAACAAAGGAGGGCAGGGCGACATCAGGGACTGGGGCGACATCAGGGACTGGGGCGACATTAGGGACTGGGGCGACATTACGGACTGGGGCGACATCAGGGACTGGGGCGACATTAGGGACTGGGGCGACATTACGGACTGGGGCGACATCAGGGACTGGGGCGACATCAGGGACTGGGGCGACATTAGGGACTGGGGCGACATCAGGGACTGGGGCGACATTACGGACTGGGGCGACATCAGGGACTGGGGCGACATTAGGGACTGGGGCGACATTACGGACTGGGGCGACATCAGGGACTGGGGCGACATCAGGGACTGGGGCGACATTAGGGACTGGGGCGACATTAGGGACTGGGGCGACATTAGGGACTGGGGCGACATTAGGGACTGGGGCGACATCAGGGACTGGGGCGACATTAGGGACTGGGGCGACATTAGGGACTGGGGCGACATCAGGGACCGGGGCGACATCAGGGACTGGGGCGACATTAGGGACTGGGGCGACATCAGGGACTGGGGCGACATCAGGGACTCGGCCGAAATTGTCCTTAGCAGACTCAATGAGTGCATCCAGCGCAGCGGACCTAGTTAGGCAACAATGGTGCCCAAAAACCGTCCGTCCGAATTATGGGATAGAAGAATATAACTGCTCTTCATAGTGTTCACACCTAGCTGTCTGAAAACTCTTACACTGGGGTTCAAAAGACTTGTTGTAGATGTAGGATATCAAAATATTATTAAAGACCGTAGGCTATCCGAAAAAATATGTCAAAAAACATATTACCGATGTACCAATGTAATGAATCTCAAAATAAATAGCAACTGTTCGACCACATTTCATTAGCACTATTATTATATTTCATTTGAGTAAATAAACTTTTAACATAAAAGCAATGATAAGTTTATTTAAATTACATTTTGTCGCTGCCTTCTCTGGCATTTATTTTTTGCAGATTATCAAGGTGATATGGCTATAAAGAACTCAAAATTGAGCCGCTGTTTCATTTTTTAAGCAGAGACCTCTAAAGTCCAAGACCAAAATGTTATTTTTTAATTTAAAAAAAAAACTCCCAAATAGTTTTATTCCCCGCCCCACCCTCCTTTACATTTGAATATTTAAAGAAGCCTTATTTGACTACTTAAAAAGTGTTATGGTGGTCCCCTACATTCGGCAATATTAATGACGTGTAATGGGCTCCTATTCGACTATTTGAATGGAATGTTATGAGCCAGGCTAATCGACTATTTAAACAAGATTTATAGGCCACTTATTCGGCTATTTAATGGCGAATTATGGGCCCCTTCCGACTATTTAGAAAAGGTTTTTTGGTAAGTTATGGAAGTAGTCTGTGTAGTGTTATTCTTTTTATGCAACAAAGTGGATTAGCATTTGTAGAATAATCACCACTGTAGTATTTGCTTTTACCACACAAAAAATACTTTGGAGTAACAAAAAATACTTTGGAGTAAACATTTTCTCTGTTTATTTATGTCCACCTTATTCAAATCAACCCGCACACAAACAGGTAGATCTAGTGAGAAATTTTTCAACACACTTTTGTGTAAGGGCTTGTTCGCAAATATTAGGATGTCACACAGTTATAGACTTTTTTCAGACTAGAAAAACCACATCAAAGAAGTTCCACCCACCTTTCTTCTAACAAAAACATCTTCTTAGGAAGGAATATCAAATGAGTGCTACTCATATATTCTTCCTGCCCCCCCCCCCCCCCTCCTAAGTAACTCATCTCCAAAATGCTCTTAATTGCAGGTGCGTGATGTCATTTCTAGAAAATCCCTTACTATACATTCCAAATGTATTTCCTGGGCAAGCACATAGGTTTCTTTAGGGCTTTATCACAGCCTCCAAATGTATTTCCTGGGCGTGGACAGATATTTCATAGGGTTTTGATCACAAGCCTCCAAATGTATTTCCCATATTCCCATGAAATTTACCAAAGATGCCAATAAATGAATGACAGAAATAAATAAGTAAGGAATTAAACACTATCCAGCATCTTATAATTATATTGTACATACCTGTGAATATGTGTGTGTGTGTGTACATAATGACTAAAATGACATAAAATTACATGTAAATGACAGTTTTTTGTTGCATATTATCCTTGAAGGCAAACAAAAACACTTACTTCTTTTCTATTCTTGACTTAATAGGCCACTCCTGATAAACTGGCAGTAATGCTGCAAGTGCCACAAAAAAAAAGAATTAACTCTTAAAATGCTATGTCTAATAATTAACTACTTGCAATTTATAATTTCACAAAGCATCGCTATGCAATGGTTGACTAAATAGAAATTATTATTTTTTTGCATTAGTCAATTTAGTTATTTTACAGAGCAATATTTCAGTATTTGAATAGCTAGTTTTTTAGATACAGTGACAATGAAACATTAGTGTTGGGTAAAGTTTAAAGGTAAAAAATGGTGAATACTAAAATGCTTTACATACTAGCTATATTTCTGACAAAAATTTATATATGTAGAGAGAGATTAAATTCTTAACACTCCCCTTCCCTCGTATAATAATAGCATCTCAAAAATCAGCCGCCCAACCCCTTAGGTAGTGATGTCATTTTTATGGTCGATTGCAAATGTCTCAACCATTTAGACACATTTTGGTTATCAAAATGTCAAAACCAAATACCCAAATGTGTGAAGTGGGGTTGTCAATAAATGATATGATATGCATGCTACGTGATAAAGTGAAGGTTTGTGACGTCAACTCAGGCGGGTTGACAATTTTTAATTATGATATTTGTTTCTTTAATATTAGCTTAAAGGTTGGTGGAACTTGGTGAAGATGTGCTAAGTGGCAGATGAAACTATGGGGGTTTAAGAAATGCTGATGCACCATTCATTTGTAAATTTCTTGAAAATAAAAATAAAACAAACAACAGATGGTTCCTACAAACAATGATTGTTTTTTTAGAGCTAGTCTAACTGAGACTTCATTATAAGGTGGCTGGCTTTTTGTAATGATGAGTGGAAGGGAGGGGTAAAAAATATCATAGAGAAATAAAAGCAACTTAAAGTTGTTACAGAAAACTACACTTTACAGAGCTTCCCAAACTTTTGTTATGTATTTAACTTAAATACGCGGTCGAAAAATTAATTCTAAAAGAAATTTAGACACATCATTGTTATTTGCATATGTTTTTTGCCGTAAGCCTTTCCTTGGTCGGCTTCTCCTCAGTCAGCCTTGTCCGTCCATATTGTGTGTTGTCGACGTTTAGCGACAATGACAGCTATTGTACCGTGTCGGCTTTCTGTTTTGGTCGTATGCTTATGCTTTCTTATGTAATGAGCGTTATAAATGTGGGCAGTACAGGTGGTTGAACTATTGATGGGATAAGTTGAAGACAGCAATACATATTAACCAAGTCTGTATGCCATTTCAAGCTAAGTAAGTATTTTTTTTTTTAAAAAGATGAAAACCTTTCTATCATATTCTATTAAATATTGTATGTATAATGCAATTAAAACCTTCATACTTAATACTAAATATTTTTTACATATCTTATAAATATTACATTACATTTAATTTATCGTAATTTGATTTGCACTTTCTGAATGTGTTATACATAAAAGTATTAACAAGTTCCATACAAATACAAATTTGTGACTTTTTTTCATGTGACTTTTTTCTGTGACTTTTTTCCTGTGACTTTTTTTTCTGTGTTTTTTTTTCCTGTGACTTTTTTTTTCCTGTGACTTTTTTCCTATAATCTTAAATAGTCGGTTCCACTCCAAAATGACATCTCAGAGTTCTACTCCACCCCCTCCCCAAATCACCATTTCTAACAAAACCAAACATGTTCTTACTAATTTTTTATTTTTTATTCTTTAACTGTATATTTTGCCATAGTCCTTATTCGCTTATTAAATTTACACCCCCCCCCCCCCACCCAAAAAACAAAGATTGTTTATAGCAATTTTTCCTTTTTAGTTATTTAATGTTCAAAATCTAACAGGATTCTATGTGAATTTTAAAATCGAAATTGACAATTCAACAGTAATGTAGACACTTAGTAAACATATGAAGAATTAATATTATTAATTTAAAAATTACTAAATTACTATTTAATTAAGCCATGATTAATTAGTTTAGATTTTGAGTGCATAATTGGTCATCTACATAGCAGAAATAAACCTACACTAAACTTAAACCATAATACTTTTTTTAAATAAAAATTTAACACAATAAAAATAGCACTGCTCTCTTAATCCATACCTCACTCCCAGTCATGATAATTCTTTTGTTATTGTAAGATATTAGTATTTTTCCCAGTCGTATTTTGTATGCAATGATAGTTGACTGGGGCTATTCCCAACCACTGGCTATTATATAATTTATATTATATTAGTAGGCCTATATTTTATGTAGTACATTATTATAATTACAGAGATGGCGGTTAATAACTAGTTAATGCTGTGTACACACACATTAAATGATACCAGTTATCACTAGGCCCCATTGGACCCCTCCACAATTGATACAATTGCAGGTCGATATAGGGCCTACAGTCACATAGTTTACAGTAGGCACATTAGTGTACTAGTGTGTAGCTGTCCAGAGTTAAGATTCTTGGATGTAAAATGTATACATTACATAACATGACATGGAGGTGAGAAATGTTGAGGGGAGAGCAGTGGTACTGATTTCCCCTTTGTTCTCCTTGATGGACCCTAAGGGCCATAAATTACATTAGAGATGCTATCTCTGGTTGGCTGAGATCTAAGGACTAAGTCCATGTTACCAAATACCTACAAAGAGACCAAGTTTTATGGTGGGTTAGATACAGGTGGGGGGCGGCTGGGTATCATGGAGGTGAGAAATTGTAAGGGGGGAGCAGTAGTATTTATGTGTCTGATCACTTCCCTGCTGGACCATGGTGGTCATATATTACATAACATACCACCCCAGATTAGCTGAGATATAAGAATTGTAATCTGTGTTACCTACAAAGAGATGAAGTTTTATGGTGGGCTGGAAACAGGTGGGGGCTAGGTATCAAGGAGGTAAGAAGTTGTGAGGGGGAGCAGTGGTATTAATGTGTCTGATCACTTCCCTACTGGACCATGGGGGTCATAAATTAACTGAGATCTAAGAACAGTTATCCATATTACTCACAAAGAGATAAGAAATTTTATAGTTGGTTAGAAGCAGGTGGGGGCTGAGTCGGTTGTATTGCCCCTTAGGGGTAATAAGTATGTGTACCATTTTAAAAATTACCTGGCTAACATCAGAATTTTTGCTTTTTAGAAGTTTAGAATTGTATTTCTATCACTTAGACACAAGTCTGTTTTACAATTAATACATTTCGTGTTAACTATTCCTATACCAGTGTCATATTCAGTGGTCTAATAAATGAGAAACTTGCACAGAGGGCAACAAAAGCCACATAACAATATCTGTTATAACTTTTCTGAACATGCAAGCTAGTGGACAAACTTAATGTATTCATGTAGATTAAGTTATTATGATTATCTAATAAATAAAACCATTATAATATTGATCAATCAAGTTTTACTCTGATAATGATAAAAACTTTATAGCATGGTAAAACTGGACAAATGTTGGCCATTTCTGTTTTGGCATCAACAATCACCATTGGAAAAATAAATTCATCAAAATAAAACTATTCTACCCATAGTTATAAAAATTGTGTTCAAATGTACAGCAACCAATGCTTTAATAAAGGAAAAAAGAATGGGCCTGAGAAACTCATATGGTTTATTCTAAAGCGAAGTTTCCTAATATATGTCTACTTGGAAAAACGTTCACAAAATGGTTTTATGGAGATGAGAAATTTTTGGGAAAGAGCAGTGGGATTAATTCCTGTCTCATCTTCTCCCTGCTGGGCCAAGTGGGTAATAAATTACATAAAATAAATCCTCTGCTTCTCTGTTATCAAAGAACAGCAGCAGTTGTTACCTCAGAAGTAGATTAGTTGTATTATAGGGGGTTTTGTGGGGGTGGGGTGCTGATCGGGTCCTAATACCACACAGCTCTTAGTGCCCTGCTTTACCCTAGCCCTTACAGGCCTTAACTAATCAACGATAAGCCCTAATACTATATTATTATTAATATTATTAGCCATATATTAAATTAAAGTATACTATTAGTACTAGGCCTATCATATAGTACTATTTATTAGTATTACTAATAGTAGTAATAGTAGTTACTAGTACTACTAATAGGGCCTATAAAATATAAGCTATAAATTATAAATAAATTCATAAAATAAATTACGAAGTGTCTATTCACAGTTGACTGTGAATAGCCATATTGGGGCTATTCACAGTCGTGACAGCTTTTGATAGATTTAATGTTAAAAATACCCAACTGGGCATGAAGATGTGTAGTCGAGCGGTCATGGGCAGTGACTGTTGTGCCAGAAGGTGTGGGTTCAAATCCATCAGACGACAGAGTGTATGAATCTTATTATCAAAATATTTGTTCACAGTTACTTAAGTTACTCATGGATTGGTTATTTTTGTTAATTTTTTTTTTTCTTTTGTGACGTAATTGTTGACATATCAGTAAAAAAAAAAAAGACCTGTCCCATAGATTTTTGCTAAGAGAAAAAACACAAAAGTGTGATGAAAACTGAATTATAGCTGATGAAAAAGGACATCCTATTTCACCTGATATTTATTCTATGTGATAATGTGAATTTTTTAATGGTAATTGTTAGTTGAATAGCAATGTGAACAACCAACTAAACTGATGCTTAATTAGTATTATTTATTTAAAAATTACCAGATCTATTATTCTAGTGTATAGAGTTAGAGTGCATAATTGATCGTCTTTGTAGATTTAGCGTGCATAATTGATTGTCTATGACCTACGTAGCCTGTACAGCAGATATGTCTGATATGAGCCTAAAAGCTAAACTAAACTTTAACCGTAATAACTTTTTTATAAAAATATAACAAAATAAAAATTTTAAATAGCACTGCATTCTTAATCTATAATCTAATCTATAGTATACAGACAGAGAGTCTGTAGTAGTAGTAGTCAAGATATTCTAACTAGAATAAATAATAAATATAGATCTATATAGTATTATTATTAATATATAGTAATATATAAATATATACTATATAGTAGTATATAGATCTAGTAATCTAGGCCTAATAGATTCTAATATTTCTAGTATAAACTCCCTATTAGCACATATAATAGATCTATATAGAATCGAGAGACTAGAGAGAATTCGGTATAGCCTAGGTTCAATAATATACTAGATCTAGATCTATTTAGTATTTACTATTTATAAAGTGGCCTACCATTAAAGTTTGTTTTGTAAACATCAAGAATCGAGACCAGATTCTAGCAGCTGGATCTTTTTTTTAACCGTCACAACACAAGAGCTCTAACACCGCGTTTACACTTGCGACATGTATACTGAAACTCTACACGTCTAAAAAAAAAATTGTTGTGGCGACGTGCTTTTTTTAGAAATCTATGCATGTTGCAAGTGCTACAATACTAACATAGCTTGACCTTTTAAAAAAAACCTAGTCTATAAGTGCAAAACAAAATATCCAATACTAATATATAAATAAATAAATAGATCTATACTATAGATTCTATAGGATAGGCGGACTAAAATTTTCGGGGAGGCGGACACCGAAGAGATGCCTGGAAGAAATTCTGCTTACGATGAAAACGATGCTTTTTTTCCACATGAATTAATATGTGGATTATGCTCACGCCTTTAGGTAAGAATGGATGGGGATGTCACCAATTGCAACGATATATATATATATAGGCCTATGAAGAACTTTTTATCAGTGGCGTAGCGAGGTCGGGTGTCACCCGGTGCGGCACTTAATGGTGTCACCCCCAGTCCCGGGGACAAACTTTCAAATTTTCGATTTGAACCCCCCCCCTCAAACTTTCGATTTGCACCCCTCTCCCTCAAGTTTTCGATTTGCATCACCCCCCCCCCCTCAAACTTCTCTCTATATATTTTGCTATTTTTTGCCTTGGTGTCACCCCCTAAATGGTGTCACCCGGTGCGGTCTGCAACCCTCGCTACGCCTTCTGCGCCACTGGACTACCAAGTCTATTATTTTGAATTTTTGAGTTAATAAAAGTATCTATTTTCTATATAAATTACATAAATTTCTTTTCGTTTGGGGGGGGGGGGGCAAAGTTCCCCCCTGAAGAGATGCCTGGAAGAAACTCTGAATATACCATCGGTATGAAGAAAGCAGACAGTGTTTCTTCCAGACTATTTTCTCTGGGGGGGGGGGGGGGCACTTGAAATTTTCGGGGATGCGGACTAAAATTTCTTGGGGGGGGGGGGGGGGGTAAGGGGCGGTCACTGTTAAAAGTATATATTTTCTATATAAATTCCATTTCGTTTGGGGGGGGGGAGGTAGACTTTCTTCGGGGGGTGACGTCGTGGCATGACATCTATCCCGTCTGTTGCGTGTTTGGAACCCATGTCGTCATTTTATCGGAACCCATGTAGTCATTTTAGTAGTCTATTGCCAGGCCTAATGGCTTTGTCAGCAACATGTTTTCATTTAACAAATTGTTAGACCTTGTTTTGTTTTTGTTTTGTTTTGTTTTTTTTTTTTTTTTTTTTTTTTTTTCGAAATAAGTTAGCATAACGAACAACGTCTATAGAAAAAAAACCCACCTCACTATTTATCAGGTTTTTAATAATTAATAATGGTTTGCATCATCATTGTAGAATTTGTTTTTAATGTTATTTTTATTTCAAATAATTAGGCCTACTAATTATATTTTAGAATAAGTGTCAAAGTTCGGCCTTAGTATTCTTTCTGCTACCTATCCGGTATTTGGTAATACCCAAAATTATCATAACTATGTACTTATTATATTATTAAACATTTCGTTTCAGACATAATAATAGATCTAGATCCAGAATCTAGATCTATAGTCTAGATCTAGTCTATATATTATAGATCTAGGCCTATCTAAACTAATCTATTCTGATCAGCACTATTGTACTAAACCCTGAGAAAGTAATACGGTATAATAACATTCAGTGGTCTCTAGATCTAGATCTAGACTATGTATAAAAATAAAATGTTGGTTGGTACTAACTAGACTAAGTACTAAAGTTGGTAATCTATCGTTTTAGGTACGTAAAATCGCCCGCAACTAGTAATGTGAAAAACGGGTGACTCCTTAAATTTTAATAATTATTTCACATTTTGAGGAGGATTTATGTTTTGAAAAATACAAAAATGTTTCCTTGTTTCATTTATTTACCTGTTTTTAAACAACTGAATTAAAACGTTTCAGTAATAAATGAAGACTAGCGATGTTCCCAACAGATGCAACCATGCTCATTTACTACATCAGCCATCTTGTTTAAGTTTTTTTTCTACACTGATAGCGTGAGATTCAGGGGAAGCCACTCTAACTTACAGATGGCCGCTTTTTATATAGCAAATCCAGCTCGCAAACACTGCTGTTTAAAGTTAATTTCTTGCCTATATTGATTATATTTAGCCGTTGATTTAGGTTTATTATTAATTTATCTATAATATTTGACACAAATATATCACAATATACTTTTTGCTATATAAAATCGGGTGTTGGGAAATTGCAAAAAGCGAAATGGCGAGGCGGGAAAATGCGAGAAGGGCCCGAAAACGGTCGGTCACGTGACTTTTTGTCTCGCATATTACCACAATCCGATACTTACGCTGGATGGTGTTAAAATGCGAAGATTTCTGCGAAAAATTTACCGCACCCGATTTACAGTGGTTTTTTGTGCAGACTTCAAAAACGTTTCGTTTACTTCAGATTTTTCCGTCGCTAGACATAGTGATGATTTGTGAACTTCCCCCATCTTTTGTGTCCACTTAGAATACCACCTTGTTCGAAACCGCCCACAATACCGCCGATGATAGATCAACTTCTTTCTTTTGTATGGAACGCAGAGGCCGCCTGATTTACCGTCTTTGAAGATCACAGTGCCCCAATCCGCTGCCGCCGCAAAAATATTTTGTATTATTGCTTAGAAATTTTTTATTATAGCTGCCGCCAGTGTTGTGTGTGGGCTGAACGGGGAGGTCACCTGTGACATGTTGTGAATGTGGATTGGAAGAAGTAGCCAAAGATGTACTATGTGTGAAAGATGGTGTCACGAGGCGTGTTTGAGTAGTGCTAGGACTGTTTCAGAAGATTTTGTTTGTAAATTTTGTTTGTAATTAAAATTACTTAATAAAAAATAAATTACACTTTTTAGAACTGTTTATACTTTTACACTTTTTGCAAGTACAACAATCCATGAATACATGTTACAGAATATATCTGCTGCTGACAAGATTATACCAATTCACAATGACCCCGCTCACGTTTGTAAAAACATGAGCGGGTTAGATTTTTAAAATTAATGTCGACTGAGACAGTAGCACAGCAACTATGTTAGGATTTTTAATAGATAGATATAAATCTATCTTCTTAGTATCTTCTACATATATATATATATATATATATATATATATGATGAAATCTAGATAAAAAATAACAACATACAACACTCGTGTTAAAGGGTATGGCTACATGCTTGATTATTTTAAAACAAAAAAAAATAATTTAAATAATTATAGATGAAAAAAAGCATGAAAAAAACTTTTTTTCGCAAAAGGTGTGTCGCTATTTACCCTTGATTCCGCAGGTATGTCTCGCATTATCTTCTCGCATTTTCCCGCCTCGCCATTTCGCTTTTCGCATCTCGCAATTTCCCAACACCCATAAAAAGTGACCATCTGTAAGTTAGAGTGGCTTCCCCCTGAATCTTGCGCTATAAGTTTATAATAAAAAAAAATAAACAAGATGGCTGCTATAGTAAATGAGCATGGTTTCATCTGTTGGAAACATCGCTAGTCTATTTATTACTGAAAATTTTCAATTCAATTGTTTAAAAACACGTACATAAATAAAACAAGGAAACATTTTTGTATTTTTCAAAACATAAATCCTCCTCAAAATGTGAAATAATTATTAAAATTTAAGGAATCACCTGTTTTTCACATTACTAGTCGCCGGCGATAGATTACCAAAATGTTACTAATGTATGTTTTAACTTCTGTTTGTTGTGATGTACTATAGAATCTAGGTCTAGATCTATGACAATCTGAAATCGGTAATCTATCGTTTTAGTTTAGAGTTCAGTACGTAAAATAGCCCGCAGCTAGTAATGTACTAAAAAGTTACCTCGTTGTCAAGGCTTTAATAGAAGTATATGTGTGATATATTTGTGTCAAATATATATAGGCTAGGGCCTATGGATAAATGAATAAATTTGAATAATAGACCTAAATCAATGGCTTAAAAAACATTTAATATATTGATATAGGCCAGAAATTAACTTTAAACAGCAGTGTTTGCAAGCAGGATTTGCTAAATAAAAAGCGGCCATCTGTAAGTTAAAGTGGCTTCCCCTGAATCTTGCGCTATAAGTTTACAATAAAAAAAAGAAACAAGATGGCTCCTATAGTAAATGAGCATGGTTGCATCTGTTGGAAACATCGCTAGTCTTCATTTATTACTGAAAAGTTTTAATTCAATTGTTTAAAAACAGGTAGATCTCTACATAAATGAAATAAGGAAACAGCTTCATTGTTTCAATATCACCACACCTTCTTGAACTAAAAGTTAAACATTTAACACCATTAGTAGGTAAATATTAAAGAAATGCAGATTGCTGTAGGGTGTGGGGTAAATACTAATTTAAAATAAAATTTAAATTGTGTACTGGCATCGGATGACTTTGGCGTATGCAGGGATATTTCTCATAATCCTATGCTTTTTTATGCATATTATGCTTAATTTTATAAAGCAGTTGTTGTACTTCAATGATTATTACTAGAAATGCCTTTAATAGCCTCAAACAGTTAATATCACTTTGTCAGTTATAATAAACTGAAGGGGTAATCCATTTATGATATCCACACGCTGGGGAGGGAAGTAGAAAAATTTGTTTTAAATCATGCAATTTTCATCTGAGTGGTAAAGATTGAAAGATTTTCTCAACAAAATATGCTAGAAAATTTTTTGTGAAGGAATAGCGTTCTAGTTTATCATTGTTGTAATTGACCCTGTCAAATAACTACAGATTATTATAACCCAAAATTCTTAACATACTTCATTTGAGGCATAGTGTTTTCATGTACTTACATGCATTCGATTGTATACATTTTGTTAAATTCTTTTTTATTTATTTTGCATCTAACATTCATAAATGCCTTTTTTTTGCAGATGATACTTTTATATACCAGCATAAACTTCTATTAAAAAATGGCTGCCGCCATGTTTACCCGCTTAACCAAGTTTGGCAAAGGAGATGAGTATGAAGACCTGGATGGAGATGACAATGTTGAAATGGATATCACTGATATGTACAGATCTGCTGGGAAAATGCCTGGAGCTAAAACAAAAAGCCAAAATGATGTTAATAGAGCCGTTCAAAGACAGAAGCCTTTAGATACTATACCACCAGTTGAGGGTAAGAATTAAAGAAAATTGGAAGTACTATTATTATTACCTGAAACTCTGTTTTTCATATTTGAAACCAAAGTTTGCATAGTTTTTTACTTTAAAAAAGGAATGTGAAGGCAAAAAATATGGCCCCTTCAAATCGCCCTGTCCCTAACCCCAACCCTGTTCCTACCATACGCCTAACCCTAATTTCTAACCATAAAATTAGTCAAGATTACAATACTACTAACAACCCAACACCCTTTTTTAAAGAAGATTCCATTATTGGACAACAGTATACTTGATGGGTTTGTGAATCGCTGCTGGTTTATGAAGGCATTTAAAAGAAGTTATAGTGGAAGTGGAGGCAGGACAAAATGGTTACTTTTATACCAATAGTGATCATATGATTCATTTGTTTGGAGCCAATATGTCGGGAGCCCATTTGTCATGAGCTCTTGTGTTGGGAGGCAATATATCGGGAGCCGCTTTGACAGGGCTATTTTGACTGGGTCGTTTTGTCAGGGGTTGATTTGACAGAGTCATATTGACGAGGCCGTTTATTCCCAGGCTGTTTTGACTGTGCACCCATAGTGTATTTGAATATCAATATTGCATACTCATCTTTTTTGTTGTCTTCCCTATTACTGTCCAGTATTTGATTTCTACATTCTACTTAATTAAAAGTTTGTATTTTTTTCCACAGAAACCTTCACTGTACAGGAATGTATTGATCAGATTGGCTTTGGAAAATTTCAAATCAAACTCTCAATACTCACTGGCTTTGCCTGGGTTTGTAGAAATTATGTTTTTACCCAATACTTTACAATTTATACTTAGTCTTAGTTAACATTGTGTGGTTAAAAAATTTTGGTTAACTAACAAATTAGTTTTTCTATATGCTGGGAAAAATAAAAATGACTTCTTCTGTCCCTTAGTCTTTTTGATAATCTCCCTTCATCCCCCCTCCTCTCCCCCCTCCCCTATTCTCTGTGTCTCTTTTAGTGTTTAGGCCATCCAATCTCTGATGTTATCTTCCCATTGTAGTAAAGGGAGTCATGGCTGTCTTGTGACATGTCAGCTCCATTTTAGCTTTTGTTTTTTTTAACAATAGTCAACAGATCATCATGATGACCAATTGCCCTTGCATCTTATCACAAACTATATCATTTGAGACCCTGTCTTTGTATGGCATTCCTAATAACCCCCTGTAACAACCAGTTTCCATGGCTAGAATCTTATTTTCTAGTTCTGCATTTAGGAGTCAAGATGTGCATTTGTCAGGTTTTTTGCTGTATATATTTTAGTGTCATTTTTTTAATTTGAATAAAATAGCAATTTAGCTCTGGACAACACAGAAAACTCCTATAACTTTGAACTAAATATATTTGTTTTTAATCAACAAAAGGCTTATCAGCTGTAAGCAAGTACATTTCTTTTAATTATCTTTCTACTGCACTTTTTATAATTATTATAATTTTTCTATTACTTCTGGTACTATTTGTTTTCACTTGATCTTTCATGAGCAGTTACACTTAAGCTTCTTTCATGAATAGGGCACCAGGTATGAGAATTTTACATTTTATTAATTATTATTATTTCTTTCTGTTTGCAGACTATATCTTGACTTTTATTGCACTTGGGGACTTATGATTTCAACTGTGTTCTTTTAAGCAGTTATTTTTTTAATACCAAATATAACTCTTGCAATGAATAATACAATGCTTTTGCAATAGGAATAATATTTTGCAATGTTTAGTAGATGGCTATGCAAAGGAAATAATTATTTCTGCAGTGTTTACTAAATGGTAGATGGAAGTAAAGATTTTTTGCTATTTGTAATAGATGGCAGATGCTATGGAAATGATGATTCTTGCAATTTTATCGCCTGCTCTACATTGTGAATGGAGATTAGATGGGTGGCAAGAGGCTTTTATTACAACAGTAAGTACAGTTTTCTTGTTTGGCATTTTTACTAATATTGCTTCAACTTTAAATGTTTAAATACACACTTTTATATATTTTTAAGCAATCACTCTTTATAAATTTTATTAAGTTTCAATTTATCTACAAACGTTTTTAATCTTAACTTTTATTAGGTTGTGTTTTGTGGAATGATGTGTAGCTCAAGTTTTTGGGGCTCTATATGTGACAAATATGGCAGAAAAACGGTTTGTTTTTATAGATCTGTCTTGTTTGATTAGATCTGGTTTTATAATGAGAACATTATAAATATAATTCTATCACCATTACTAAAAATTAATATTTTTAATGTAAACCAACTAGGCATTATATATATTTGCCCAAAAGACGCTAACCAGAATGTTGTTTGCCCAAAAGTTGTTTGCCCAAATGTTGTTTGCTCAAAAGCTGTTTGCACAATGTCTAACGCCAGAAGACCTTACTTGAAGAGTTCATCTGTTTCAATTACATTGGCACACCAAGGAGACGTGTGGTCACCACTATTCGCAGCCGCCTTTGTCATAAGTCATGTCGCCATCAGAGTTGGGTGTACCACAGGTCATGTCGCCATCAGAGTTGGGTGTACCACGGACTCAAGCCAGCAATCTTAACTCTAGTCTTTTGGGCTGGCAGTCATAAGCTCTAACAATAAATGATGCTGTTCAATGTAAAAGGCACTATTTTATTTGAAATGTTTGATATATAGTAAAGGGCACCATTTATTTGAGGTACTTGATGTACAGTAAAGGGCACCATTTATTTGAGGTATTTGATGTACAATAAAGGGCACCATTTATTTGAGGTATTTGATGTACAGTAAAGGGCACCATTTATTAGATGTACAGTAAAGGGCACCATTTATTTGAGGTACTTGATGTACAGTAAAGGGCACCATTTATTTGATGTACAGTAAACGGCATTTATTGATCAACAGGAACTGATTCTCTGCTCTGTAATCACCTGCTATTTTGGAATTTTGAGTTCGTTTGCCCCAAATTTTATATGGATGCTTATCCTCAGAGGTTTAGTTGGCTTTGGCATTGGTGGAGCTCCTCAGTCGTATGTAATATTATTTTAGTTATTATAAGTATATTATATATGTGTATGTGTATATATATATATATATATATATATATATATATATATATATATATATATATATATATATATAAAGAGAGACACACAGAGACAGACAGACAGATATGCAATTATGTAAGTGTTCATCACAATTTTAGTTAGTAAGTAGGATACTAAAAAGATATTTATGATATGTACTTACATGAACTTTTTTCTGTGAAACTTGACAGAGTAACACTTTATGCAGAGTTTCTTCCAAGTAAATCACGAGCCACATGTGTCACTCTTATAGAAATATTTTGGGCTATTGGAGCATGCTTTGAGGTTCTTCTAGCCCTGTTGGTAATGCCAACTCTAGGATGGTCTTATCTTCTAGGATTTTCTGCTCTCCCACTTTTAATATTTTCATTGTTTTGTGTGGTGAGTATAATTAAAAGATTTTATGTGTAATATTAATTTTGTTGATAGATTAGCCCTTACAGTTTTGGGCTTAAATATTTCCATTTTTCCGTTGCTTGTTGGAAAATTAATAAGCTTGTTGCTTATAATAAATTTTTCTTTTCTGTTTTCCTTTGTCCCAACACATAAATCTAAATAAAAAGGTGTCCTTATTGTAAATATAAAGCATTATTTTACCTTTTACAACAGTACTAGTAATTACTTGATTGAAAATGTCAATATCTAAACTTAAAAAATTCTGTCTATAGTTGTTGACAAATAGTCCTGACCTCAGTCACTAGGCCTAATGATGTTGGCTACAACCTCAGTCACTAGGCCTAATGATGCTGGCTACAACCTCAGTCAGTAGGCCTAATGATGCTGGCTACAACCTCAGTCACTAGGCCTAATGATGCTGGCTACAACCTCAGTCACTAGGCCTAATGATGTTGGCTACAACCTCAGTCACTAGGTCTAATGATGTTGGCTACAACCTCAGTCACTAGGCCTAATGATGTTGGCTACAACCTCAGTCACTAGGCCTAATGATGTTGGCTACAACCTCAGTCACTAGGCCTAATGATGTTGGCTACAACCTCAGTCACTAGGTCTAATGATGTTGGCTACAACCTCAGTCACTAGGTCTAATGATGTTGGCTACAACCTCAGTCACTAGGACTAATGATGTTGGCTACAACCTCAGTCAGTAGGCCTAATGATGCTGGCTACAACCTCAGTCACTAGGCCTAATGATGTTGGCTACAACCTCAGTCACTAGGTCTAATGATGTTGGCTACAACCTCAGTCACTAGGTCTAATGATGTTGGCTACAACCTCAGTCACTAGGACTAATGATGTTGGCTACAACCTCAGTCAGTAGGCCTAATGATGCTGGCTACAACCTCAGTCACTAGGTCTAATGATGCTGGCTACAACCTCATTCACTAGGCCTAATGATGCTGGCTACAACCTCAGTCACTAGGCCTAATGATGCTGGCTACAACCTCAGTCAGTAGGCCTAATGATGCTGGCTACAACCTCAGTCACTAGGCCTAATGATGCTGGCTACAACCTCAGTCACTAGGCCTAATGATGTTGGCTACATCCTCAGTCACTAGGCCTAATGATGTTGGCTACAACCTCAGTCACTAGGTCTAATGATGTTGGCTACAACCTCAGTCACTAGGCCTAATGATGTTGGCTACAACCTCAGTCACTAGGACTAATGATGTTGGCTACAACCTCAGTCACTAGGCCTAATGATGTTGGCTACAACCTCAGTCACTAGGCCTAATGATGCTGGCTACAACCTCAGTCACTAGGTCTAATGATGTTGGCTACAACCTCAGTCACTAGGCCTAATGATGTTGGCTACAACCTCAGTCACTAGGCCTAATGATGCTGGCTACCTCAGTCACTAGGCCTAATGATGCTGGCTACAACCTCAGTCACTAGGACTAATGATGTTGGCTACAACCTCAGTCACTAGGCCTAATGATGTTGGCTACAACCTCAGTCACTAGGTCTAATGATGTTGGCTACAACCTCAGTCACTAGGTCTAATGATGTTGGCTACAACCTCAGTCACTAGGACTAATGATGTTGGCTACAACCTCAGTCAGTAGGCCTAATGATGCTGGCTACAACCTCAGTCACTAGGCCTAATGATGTTGGCTACAACCTCAGTCACTAGGTCTAATGATGTTGGCTACAACCTCAGTCACTAGGTCTAATGATGTTGGCTACAACCTCAGTCACTAGGACTAATGATGTTGGCTACAACCTCAGTCAGTAGGCCTAATGATGCTGGCTACAACCTCAGTCACTAGGTCTAATGATGCTGGCTACAACCTCATTCACTAGGCCTAATGATGCTGGCTACAACCTCAGTCACTAGGCCTAATGATGCTGGCTACAACCTCAGTCAGTAGGCCTAATGATGCTGGCTACAACCTCAGTCACTAGGCCTAATGATGCTGGCTACAACCTCAGTCACTAGGCCTAATGATGTTGGCTACATCCTCAGTCACTAGGCCTAATGATGTTGGCTACAACCTCAGTCACTAGGTCTAATGATGTTGGCTACAACCTCAGTCACTAGGCCTAATGATGTTGGCTACAACCTCAGTCACTAGGACTAATGATGTTGGCTACAACCTCAGTCACTAGGCCTAATGATGTTGGCTACAACCTCAGTCACTAGGCCTAATGATGCTGGCTACAACCTCAGTCACTAGGTCTAATGATGTTGGCTACAACCTCAGTCACTAGGCCTAATGATGTTGGCTACAACCTCAGTCACTAGGCCTAATGATGCTGGCTACCTCAGTCACTAGGCCTAATGATGCTGGCTACAACCTCAGTCACTAGGACTAATGATGTTGGCTACAACCTCAGTCACTAGGCCTAATGATGTTGGCTACAACCTCAGTCACTAGGCCTAATGATGTTGGCTACAACCTCAGTCACTAGGACTAATGATGTTGGCTACAACCTCAGTCACTAGGCCTAATGATGCTGGCTACAACCTCAGTCACTAGGACTAATGATGTTGGCTACAACCTCAGTCACTAGGCCTAATGATGTTGGCTACAACCTCAGTCACTAGGTCTAATGATGTTGGCTACAACCTCAGTCACTAGGCCTAATGATGTTGGCTACAACCTCAGTCACTAGGACTAATGATGTTGGCTACAACCTCAGTCACTAGGTCTAATGATGTTGGCTACAACCTCAGTCACTAGGTCTAATGATGTTGGCTACAACCTCAGTCACTAGGCCTAATGATGCTGGCTACAACCTCAGTCACTAGGACTAATGATGTTGGCTACAACCTCAGTCACTAGGCCTAATGATGCTGGCTACAACCTCAGTCACTAGGCCTAATGATGTTGGCTACAACCTCAGTCACTAGGCCTAATGATGTTGGCTACAACCTCAGTCACTAGGCCTAATGATGCTGGCTACAACCTCAGTCACTAGGTCTAATGATGTTGGCTACAACCTCAGTCACTAGGCCTAATGATGCTGGCTACAACCTCAGTCACTAGGCCTAATGATGTTGGCTACAACCTCAGTCACTAGGCCTAATGATGCTGGCTACAACCTCAGTCACTAGGACTAATGATGTTGGCTACAACCTCAGTCACTAGGTCTAATGATGTTGGCTACAACCTCAGTCACTAGGCCTAATGATGTTGGCTACAACCTCAGTCACTAGGCCTAATGATGTTGGCTACAACCTCAGTCACTAGGCCTAATGATGTTGGCTACAACCTCAGTCACTAGGCCTAATGATGTTGGCTACAACCTCAGTCACTAGGTCTAATGATGTTGGCTACAAGGTAGCTTCAACCTTAGTCAAGAGGCCTGCTGGTGCTGACTGAACCAATTTTTATGTCGTGTTAACATTTTCTGCAGTTATTTCTATTAAATCAGAAGTTGTTTTAGAATGAGACGAGTCTGATAATAAATCAGACATTGATAAACTGAATAGGTTTACTTTAAATCTAGATAAAAAATACTTAGAACTAAAATCTTATTGGGGGGAGCTGAGGTTGTGAAAACAAACTCTTGAATGTTGATTTTTTTTTCTAATGTTTGTTTTCAGTGGCTGCCTGAAAGCGCTCGGTATGACATGACTAGAGGATGCTATGATAAAGCACTGCAAACTCTAGAGAGGATAGCTAAAGACAATGGCAAGCCAATGCCTCTGGGTAAACTTGTTGAACCGCAGGGTCATGTAAGTTCTCATTGTGTCTATAGACCAGCTCACTTTACATGATTTTGTTTTTCTATTATTGAAATAGCCACTGCATTTTATAAAGAATATTATTTTGTAAAAGTAATTTGTTGATGTTTATGATGATTTTTATACAGGCTATAAAACGTGGACGTGTGAAGGATTTATTTATTCCAGAACTTAAAATTACAACAATCTTATTGTGGATAATTTGGTGAGTACTGTAGTTAGAAGATAACAAAGTCTTATTAGTTCAATAATTTTATAAGAAAATCTTTAGAAAAGTTGAAAAACGTCATTTTATTCTTGACCCTTTCTTTAGATTTTTTTAATAGTAAACGTAACCTTTTTAAAATTAACAAAAACTATAATACATGATGTTTCCAATTGTTGTGTATTTAAAAATTGTTTCAATTACTTAACTAAATCAAAGGTTGTTACGTAATACCAACCCCCAAACCTTGTTTTTCATGAAAAAATTGTCATGTTAGTGTGCATAAAGAATTGAAAAGTCTTATGGCTGTGAAAATATACTAAAAATAAATTTGAAATGGGTTCTTATGACAACAGAAAATGTTTTTTAACTGGTTTCTAATTGTATGTTAATAAATTTCATTGTTAAAATTTACATCCATTAGGAAATTAGTACATTTTTAAAAATCATTCTCAACCTAAAATCAAATAGACATATTTCTTGTTTTTAATACACTTATTAATCATATCAAAAATTATTTTTAGGTTGGTTTGTGCTTTTTCATACTATGGAATTGTTTTGCTTACTACAGCAATGTTTGAAAACCCTGATGGCTGCCATGGTAATTATATTATAATCATTAATTATAATCAAACAATCACCAAAATTTTTTTAAACTGTGGCTAGTTCAATATCTTATTGCCCTATAATCTTCATGTTTATTTGTATAAAAGTTGGTTTTACCTAAGATTTTAAATCTTATTATAGTTCTGTATGATTTTTTCCTTTAAATTAAATATCAAGTTATCTACATAAATCAATACATTTAGAAAATGTTTTTCCTTAATGCCTTCCTTTTAAACCCTGTGCTCTTCCTATGGTTTTTTCTAACAAAATGTTCTGTACTCTATATATTTAATGATAAGAATTAGTTTAACTTTTTGTGAAACAAAAACAATTTTAATGCAAGACAACCTGGTTTTCTATCTAATATATAAAGTTCAATTCTATATGTTTGTTTGTGGCGGACCACGGATCCAAAGAAATATAAGAAATTAATCTATAACTAAATTTTTCTATACTGTTGAGATAAACCTCTCCACATTATTTGTAACTTCCACCTGGAGTCTAGTTTCGTTTTCACTTCTTATTAATTCGGCAAATAAAAACAATGATACTAACCCACCTTTCACTTCAAATAACTTAATTCAAAACATAGGTTACTTCCTACCTTTTAGAAAACCATTTAAACAAAGTTGAGAATTTTTTCATTTATTGCTAAGGTTAGCCTATAATGAAGGTGTCTGAAAGCTGCTAGTAAGAACTAATCCTCAGTGTTGACCCTGTACAGTAGTAATTTTAAATATTTTTTTACCAGCGTGTGATGTGAATTGATGCAATCTTTCATTTGCTGCCCTTTTTTAAAGATTGGTCAATCGTCTGTTACATTATGCTGTTGTTTGTGCTTTTTAATGCTAAAATCAACTCATTTTATTGTCATATGCAAATGCCGGTGCTATGTTATTTTAGGAAGTTCCAGCTTTATTTAAACAATGTCAGGGTAGGAGGTGATGACAGGTGTTATTTATACTTCAGTGTGTGCACGTCTTGATGTTTTGAAAAAATTGAAGCTTTTGATTAAAACATTAAAACTTTTGTTTTTATAGTGAAAACTAACAATTAAGATGTAAACTTGAGGGCCCCTAAAAATCGGGGGCTCCTGACTGCAGCCCTCTATCCCCTATCATACTCAATGCTCCTACACTCGCCCTACTAAGTTTATCATGAAAATTATCAATAATTAAAATTTCACCATTTTCCTATTTATATTAACAATGTTACAGTGAATTTTAATGTGCTAAAAAGAAAACATTTAAGGCTGTTTGCATTGCTTAGTATCCAGCATCTGTTGATGTTTAGCATACTGTTAGTGTTTTTTTATTCTGCCATTAATCAAGCAAAAACCTAGAAATGTTTTAAATATTCTTTAGATATAGAAAATATAATTAGAAAATTATGCAATTAAGTTGGGTACTTTGTAATTCAATTTTTTTTTTTTAATGTGTCTTAGTTTAGATTTTTAAATATTCAGATGATATCATTAATGGAAATTAAAGGAAAAAATGTTAAGTCTTTGATAATCCCAAAAATTTATATTATCATTGATTTACTGCATGTTGTTAATATTTTTTAGGTACTGATGTAAAATTCAATCCCAATCCTACTTGTTTTCTTGAGTGCAAATCTTTAACCACAAAAGATTATATAGACTTGACATGGACAACCTTTGCTGAGTTTCCAGGTAAAAGATCCAAGGCTGGGCTTTAAAACACTGTATTGTAAAAATAGTCATTTTTTTATAAATGTGCAAAATCTAAATAAGAAATTGTTTTTCGCTGCAAAATACATACATATCTGTATTCTACAAATTGATGTTTATGTCCTCATAACCTATTTTCATAATACTATTGGGAAAAATACAATAAAACATTGTTTAAAAAAACAATTGATAAATAAATGTTTTAATAACATTCTTTATATAGTTATGTACAAAAAAAAAGTAGAAAATAATTTTCTTTACATATAGGCTTATAATAATGAATAATATTTAACAACTAAAAAGAAAAGTGCACCAAATGAATGCAAGCAATGTGGGTATATTAGCTTAGAAAATTAGAACTATTTACAGAAAACTTCTATTAATTCTTGCATTGTCACGGGTTCTTTACCTACTTGTCAATTTTGAAATTGGGCTTGCCTGTTTTGACACATAAGAACCCTAGAAATCATTTTAAAGCAAACTTTTAAAAAAAAGATTACCTGTGTTTATGCAGTATATTTATTTGTATCCCCATTGTAAAAATACAATGTAACAAGGCAAACATGTAGCCTATAAACAATTATTTTAATATTTTTCTAATGATTTATAATAAAACAATTTTTTTAAGGTTTGTTTATCACTGCCTATCTACTGAACAAAATAGGACGAAAATACACAATGGTTTTGGAGTTTATAATTTTTACTCTGTTTGTCATGTTGGTAAACATCTGCATGACCAGGTAAGCCTCACTTATTTAGATTGTAAATATCTGTCACTTTGTGTGATGTAATGGTAATATTTTTAAACACAAAGCTGCCCAAATAAAGTCAAGTAAACTTTCCCAGCTGATGGTTTATATGGTAGATGAAGTAAGGCTCACCTCCTTGATGTCCATGTAGTGTGTTGTCAGCACAAAACTCAGCAGTCCTTTTGTTTTGTTATCAGGGTAGTGCATGACTTAGCCAAAAGTTGGTTTTCTTAGCTTGAGTCCCATTGGTGCCCCTTTGTCTACATAACTTTGTAGCCCTACCTGATTTGAGTCAGGGATAGTAAAGATCTGATCCATTCATAATTCATGAACTTTGTAGGAATATTGACATGGTGAAATTGTAGGAATATTGACATGGTGAAATTGTAGGAATATTGACTTGGTGAAATTGTAGGAATATTGACATGGTGAAATTGTAGGTATATTGACATGGTGAAATTGTAGGAATATTGACTTGGTGAAATTGTAGGAATACTGACTTGGTGAAATTGTAGGAATATTGACATGGTGAAATTGTAGGAATATTGACATGGTGAAATTGTAGGAATATTGACATGGTGAAATTGTAGGAATATTGACATGGTGAAATTGTAGGTATATTGACATGGTGAAATTGTAGGAATATTGACATGGTGAAATTGTAGGAATATTGACATGGTGAAATTGTAGGAATATTGACATGGTGAAATTGTAGGTATATTGACATGGTGAAATTGTAGGAATATTGACATGGTGAAATTGTAGGAATATTGACATGGTGAAATTGTAGGAATATTGACATGGTGAAATTGTAGGAATATTGACATGGTGAAATTGTAGGAATATTGACATGGTGAAATTGAAAAAGCTTCAGCTACAAGCAACTCCAAAAGCCATTTTTAGCCATCTTCCACTCATTCAAAAAAAAAACATTGATGTGTTGAAACATTATTTTGACTTATTAGTGGGTTATCTGAATTAAACTTCTTTTTTTTTTTTAGCTATTTTGGAAGATAGTATTAAATTTTGTTTTCTTTGTTTATAAAATATGCAGTATTTCTCCAAAACTAATCAGGTGTTTTTTTGTTTCAGAGCAGTCTTAACTTTTTTCCTTTTTGTAGCAAGAGCATTTATTTCTGGAGCATTCCAAGGTGCTTATGTTTACACTCCTGAGGTATGTGAAGATTGATTTGTACCTAGAAATTGTTAAGAAGTATAGGTTAGTTTTATACATTAGGTAATGTAATATAGATATAACCATCAAACATTTGCTTGTATCTGATTTATATGTAGAGATTATCAGAGTTGTGTCCCATCACCATGTGCTGTTGCCAGATCCATGTGTTTGGATTCATGATTTCTTACATTTAAATGTCTTTGGGAAATCCTAATCCAATGGTTACTGACACTCTGGTCTACACAATCCTAATCCAATGTTTTGTTTACTGACACTCTGGTCTACACAATCCTTATCCAATGTTTGCTGACACTCTGGTCTACACAATCCTAATCCAATGTTTTGTTTGCTGACACTCTGGTCTACACAATCCTAATCCAATGTTTGCTGACACTCTGGTCTACACAATCCTAATCCAATGTTTTGTTTGCTGACACTCTGGTCTACACAATCCTAATCCAATGTTTGCTGACACTCTGGTCTACACAATCCTAATCCAATGTTTGCTGACACTCTGGTCTACACAATCCTAATCCAATGTTTTGTTTGCTGACACTCTGGTCTACACAATCCTAATCCAATGTTTTGTTTGTTGACACTCTGGTCTACACAATCCTAATCCAATGTTTGCTGACACTCTGGTCTACACAATCCTAATCCAATGTTTGCTGACACTCTGGTCTACACAATCCTAATCCAATGTTTTGTTTGTTGACACTCTGGTCTACACAATCCTAATCCAATGTTTTGTTTGCTGACACTCTGGTCTACACAATCCTAATCCAATGTTTGCTGACACTCTGGTCTACACAATCCTAATCCAATGTTTTGTTTGCTGACACTCTGGTCTACACAATCCTAATCCAATGTTTTGTTTGCTGACACTCTGGTCTACACAATCCTAATCCAATGTTTGCTGACACTCTGGTCTACACAATCCTAATCCAATGTTTGCTGACACTCTGGTCTACACAATCCTAATCCAATGTTTGCTGACACTCTGGTCTACACAATCCTAATCCAATGTTTTGTTTGCTGACACTCTGGTCTACACAATCCTAATCCAATGTTTACTGACACTCTGGTCTACACAATCCTAATCCAATGTTTTGTTTACTGACACTCTGGTCTACACAATCCTAATCCAATGTTTTGTTTACTGACACTCTGGTCTACACAATCCTAATCCAATGTTTGCTGACACTCTGGTCTACACAATCCTAATCCAATGTTTGCTGACACTCTGGTCTACACAATCCTAATCCAATGTTTTGTTTACTGACACTCTGGTCTACACAATCCTAATCCAATGTTTGCTGACACTCTGGTCTACACAATCCTAATCCAATGTTTTGTTTGCTGACACTCTGGTCTACACAATCCTAATCCAATGTTTTGTTTACTGACACTCTGGTCTACACAATCCTAATCCAATGTTTGCTGACACTCTGGTCTACACAATCCTAATCCAATGTTTTGTTTGCTGACACTCTGGTCTACACAATCCTAATCCAATGTTTGCTGACACTCTGGTCTACACAATCCTAATCCAATGTTTGCTGACACTCTGGTCTACACAATCCTAATCCAATGTTTTGTTTGCTGACACTCTGGTCTACACAATCCTAATCCAATGTTTACTGACACTCTGGTCTACACAATCCTAATCCAATGTTTTGTTTACTGACACTCTGGTCTACACAATCCTAATCCAATGTTTGCTGACACTCTGGTCTACACAATCCTAATCCAATGTTTTGTTTGCTGACACTCTGGTCTACACAATCCTAATCCAATGTTTTGTTTACTGACACTCTGGTCTACACAATCCTAATCCAATGTTTGCTGACACTCTGGTCTACACAATCCTAATCCAATGTTTTGTTTGCTGACACTCTGGTCTACACAATCCTAATCCAATGTTTGCTGACACTCTGGTCTACACAATCCTAATCCAATGTTTGCTGACACTCTGGTCTACACAATCCTAATCCAATGTTTTGTTTGTTGACACTCTGGTCTACACAATCCTAATCCAATGTTTTGTTTGCTGACACTCTGGTCTACACAATCCTAATCCAATGTTTACTGACACTCTGGTCTACACAATCCTAATCCAATGTTTACTGACACTCTGGTCTACACAATCCCAATCCAATGTTTACTGACACTCTGGTCTACACAATCCTAATCCAATGTTTTGTTTACTGACACTCTGGTCTACACAATCCTAATCCAATGTTTACTGGGTTCACCAACAACTGTCATGTCATATTTGTGTGCTGAACTGCTTTATGGAAAATACCCACTGCTTTTAAAAAATGTTACATGACTGTGCCTCCTATTTATTTTTACTTATTTTTTTGTGTTACCTCATTTCAGGTATATCCAACTTCAATGCGTGCACTTGGCCTGGGAACCTGTAGTGGTATGGCAAGAATTGGGGCTATAGTTACACCTTTTGTGGCTCAAGTATGTTTCTCTTCATTTCAATTTTGTTAAGTGAAATCAGTTTTTCTTGTTTGTTTTTTAAAGGCTTTTATATTTAGCTTGCTCAGTATGTTTGCATGCATGTGCATGTGTGTCATACCAGCATATTGGTTTTGTAAGGTTAACCAAACTAATTTTATCTTTTACTTTTTAGTGCATTTTTTTTTCATTTTTTTTTTATTTGTGAATATAATAAAAAGCCTTTTTCCTTCAAATTTTTATTTTTTAGATTTATTTAATATGAAACTCCGGAGCATGTGTTTGTTTTGTTTTTATTTTTTTTCAAACTTTTACACAAGTAGGAATTCTAATGTAGGATTAAAAATAAATTAACAAAAATGTTCAGTGAAAAACAGTATCAGAATTTATTCACCTCCCTGAGAAATATGTCGGTCTATTATCCTCAATCTTTTGCCTAGGTCTTACTTAAGGAATCAGCCTATGCTGCCGTTTCCATCTATGGAGTCATGTGTTTAATAGCTTCTGCAGCTGCATTCTTGTTGCCTATAGAAACCAAAGGAAGAGATATGAAGGTAGGAAAATGTGTATTTTAAACTTAGGGGATTCAGTTAGTTTTATAGTTTATTTTCATTGTTGGTTTGTGAAATATTTGTAATAAACTGTAATTCAAGTCATTTGTAATTGTGTATTTAATTTCAACAGGATTCAGGGCATGAAGAAACTAAATCCAAAAAGTAACAGAGCTCACTTCTAAGGCAAATAGAAATTTTCACTGACTGTTTTAAGTTCCTGGAAAAAATCCTTGTTGAATTTCTAAACAAGGCTTTAACTCCTTGTTAACAGTTTCGTTTTATGTATCTATATCTATATATATATATATAGTTAGGTTGTTGTACTTATTGTGGGGAATTAAGATATTTTGAAGATACTATGGTTTTTTTTTAATTTGTATTTTTTGAATAAGTTATTATATACTTTTGAAAATTATATTTTAATAATGCTTAAATATTACATTGTGATAATTTAATTGTAGTTTGTTGTTCTTCAAAACCATCATAAGTTATATGGCTTTAATAAGCTCAATGGGCAAGTGTTTTTTTTTTTGTAGTTATGTTTGCCAAAAGATTGATCTTTAATACATTCTCAACTGTGAGGCTACTCCCCTTTACTTTTTTAGGGGTATTAAAGCTAAAAGTATACACAAACTTTATTAAACTACTGATACTTAACAATTATCAATTCACTTATACTGTATTATATATTTTTTAATAGAGATTTTCAGTTATTTATGACCTAGTGAACCATATGAATCTCATGTTAGTGTTTAACATAGAATAATATTATTTTTACATGTTTGATAAATAAAAACAGTGGACTGTAACTTTTTGTCAACTTATATTAATTTATTTTAAAACTTTCTGTGAAATTAAAATTGATTTTTTTCTAACGGATATGACAAAGCTATTGTTAATAGCAATAGTACTAGATTTTAAAAACTACTAGAAGACAATTTTACTGTTTCAAATGAAAAGTTTTTGCTTTTTTTGTATATTTTTAATGTGATAAGGTGTTGCCATTACTTTTGTATTTACACTCCAACCAATTTGTTATATGAATTTGTGATATTGTCTGGCAAAAATTTTTTTATCATTTTTATGTATAAAATTTGCCTTCACAGCAATGTAGCATTTTTATATTGATTCAGTTTCTTTATTAAATATTGTTAAGCGTATTGCCTTCTAGAATTTTTATGTTCTAATTATACTTGCCCCTGAAAAGTACTCAAAATAGGAATGAAAACTTTCTACAGGCTTTTTGGTGTAGAATTATCTTTACTTAAATTTTTATTGATATATTTGAATTCTCACTTTAGGTAGTAACTAATTTAAATGTCTTTTAAATTTTAGTAAAATGTTCTAAACATTGTTTTTGAACTTTCTAATGTTTAAATAATTATTAAGAAGAAAGGCTTTCACATTAAATAATTTCTTTAGCTTAGTAGCAATGCTCTCTTGTAATCTGCTGGAGATGGTTGCCTCCTTAATCCTGTGATCTAAAGGATAATCTTCTATTTTAGTGGGATCAAAGGTTGCCTCCTTAATCCTGTGATCTAAAGGATAATCTTCTATTTTAGTGGGATCAAAGGTTGCCTCCTTAATCCTGTGATCTAATGGATAATCTTCTATTTTAGTGGGATCAAAGGTTACCTACTTCTTGATTAAGACCAAACTCCGAATAGTTTAAGCTTTTTAAAATTATTAATCCATTTTCATATCTTGTAATTCAAAATTATACACACACTTTAAAATATGCTCAGTTATTTTAAAATGACACGTGACCTTTAAAAAAAATTTATTGTTTACAAAGATTTTATTTTAAATGTTCTGTTGAAAGCATAGTTCAGAACATTTATTTGTAAATGCATTTGTTTGCGGACTTTAACTTACTCATTTATTTAGTCAGATGTGTTCAGGCCCTGGTTGCCATAGATACTGAAGAGTATGTTTGATGTTTACAATCTGTAGCTGCTGCAATAATTACTTTGTATTTTTTTATTGTGTGTCTGTTGTGGCTGTACTGGACATTTTGGGACAAATTAAATTAGAAATTAATAATTTTGAAACACTTATACTGATTTGTTTTGAAGTTAGAGCTATTCGTATCACAAAACCATGTGCTAAAATCTGTGTTATTTAAAGTCAGGTTTACAGTGTATACATCTGAGGGTGTAACTAATAGGATAAGAATGTTATGTTGCACAACAGTAAATGACTTGCACAGAATATAAAAACAGATACCATATGGCCATCCAAATCATGTCCTCTCCTTAAAGTTTCTCTTGATCATTCAAATATAATGATTTATAATTTGCCAGTGTTTTATACTTAAATGCATTTTTTTTAAGTTCAACTTGAAAAATATTCTTTGTAATGGATTACATTTTTGGTATTAAAATTGAAGTCATGTTTTCAAAAGGTGGCTTTCTATTGACTTCATATTAAAGTTACGTTTTTTTCTCTAATATACATTACATTAATCTAATTTTGTCAATTTGCGCAAAAAGACAGGAATACTAAATTTTTAAAGAAATAATGGTCTGAAAACATCTTTTTACTCACAAATTCTAGGGTTTTGAATGAGCATCTATGAATGACATAAATCCATTTATTTCTAATTCAGTCTTTTCAATTGGGGCTTTTTTCTTCTTTCAACAACACATTGAAAGTCATCTTGAAGGTATTCGATTTAAGACTAATAATTCAGCCTGTAGAAAACACTTGTACTTTGTTAAGAATCATTTGATGTTAGTTGTAATACATTATCTTAGAATAGTTAGATTTATGTCATATTTATAGTGAAATAGCTATATGATTATTTTGTAGAGGCATTTTTATTTGTAATACAGTAAATAAATGAAATGGCTTTCAGTTTTCTTATTTTGTTGGTAAATTTTGTTTACTAGCTGATGTTTCTGGCAATAATATTTGACAAGCTTTGTCTGTCTGTATTCATACATTTCTACTAATTTTTGTCTCTATTCATACATTTCTACCAAGCTTTATCTGTCTATTCATACATTTCTACGAGGAAAAAATAAAATGACAAAAGGAAAGATAAGCAAATTCTAATGCTTGTTAAGACGTGTGAAACAGTTTTGAGTTGTCGACTTATTTAGAACGCTAAAGATCTCAATATAATAACCGTGTGAGCTAGTGGCCTGCACGTATGACAGATAGCCACCACAAATGGCTTATCTAAATGGATGTCCATATGTTTAGCGTACTGGCTTTTCTAATGCAATCTTATTATCTACATTTAGCAAGTACAAACTTTCAATAAAAGGGAAAAAAGTAAACTGCCCAAAATCGAATCTGGTGGAGAGGTGTATGTGCAGCCCTTCGCTCCACAGAAGCGCTAACGGAAACATTCAAACCTTAAACTAAACGCTTAACTCGCGGTAAGAAAAGTAAAGGCGGTCACGTGACAAATGATCTCGGACAAAATAACCCATACAAAAAAATATAAAGGACAAAATATCTCACAGTAAAATACCCAAAGTTTTTAGGAATATATTCAGCGATTTAACATTAAAGCAGTATTTCTTTCAGACTTTTCTCCGTGGGGGGGGGGGGGGGGGACGACACTGCTAAAAGTATATATTATATTTTCTATATAAATTCCATTTCGTTCGGGGTGGGGGGTGGTGTTCCGTCCAGTGTTTCTTCCAGACTTTTTTCTCCGGGGGGGCACTTGAAATTTTCGGGGGGGGGGGGGGGGGGGCGGTAGACTTTCTTCGGGGGGGGCGGACACTGTTAAAAGTATATATTTTCTATATAAATTATATAAATTTCATTTCGTTCGGGGGGGCGGTAAAAATTCCCCCCCCCCCCCCCCCGAAGAGATGCCTGGAAGAAACTCTGGTTCCGTCCCATACTCAAAGAGATACCTGAATGAAAGTCTACATGCAGACCACTTTTAAGATTAGATAAATAAATTAGGCGGTAATGTGACTCTCTTCAGGGGGTTGGGGCAGAGCCCCCCCCCCCCCCGAGAAGATGCCTGGAAGAAACACTGGCTGTATTTCACGCTCTCTCCCTCTCTCACGAGAATTTACTGTCTCTCTCCCTCTCTCACGACAGTTCACTCTCTCTCTCACGACAATTTTCTCTCTCTCTCTCACTAGAGTTCACTCTTTCTACATCTCCCACGACGGTTCATTCTCTCTCTCCCACGACGGTTCACTCTCTCCCACGACGGTTCACTCTCTCTCACGACGGTTCACTCACTCTCTCCCACGACGGTTCACTCTCTCTCTCTCCCACGACGTATTCACTCTCTCTCTCTCTCCCACGACGGTTCACTCACTCTCTCCCACGACGGTTCACTCTCTCTATTTCCCACGACGGTTCACTCACTCTCTCCCACGACGGTTCACTCTCTCTATTTCCCACGACGGTTCACTCTCTCTCTCCCACGACGGTTCAATCTCTCCCACGACGGTTCACTCTCTCCCACGACGGTTCACTCTCTCTCTCTCCCATGACGGTTCACTCTCTCTCTCTCTCCCACGACGGTTCACTCTCTTTCTCTCCCACGACGGTTTACTCTCTCCCACGACGGTTCACTCTCTCTCTCCCACGACGGTTCACTCTCTCCCACGACGGTTCACTCTCTCTCTCCCACGACGGTTCACTCTCTCTCTCTCCCACGACGGTTCACTCTCTCGCACTACGGTTCACTCTCTCCCACGACGGTTCACTCTCTCCCACGACGGTTCACTCTCTTTCTCTCTCTCCCACAACGGTTCACTCTCTTTCCCACGACAGTTCACTCTCTCTCACTAGAGTTCACTATCTCACTAGAGTTCGCTCTCTCACTAGTTCACACTCTCACTAGAGTTCACTCTCTCTCTCTCTCTCTCTCATGAGAGTTCACACTCTCACTAGAGTTCACTCTCTCATGAGAGTTCACTCTCTCACTAGAGTTCAATTACATATTTCAATTTCTTTAATAGACAAACGTTTCTAAAACATGAATAACATTTCACTAAAAAAAAGTAGACCATAACGTACATCATAATGTTTTTAATGAACTCACAGTAAGCAGTAGTCTGAGTACAAATCATGAAAATGTGATTGTTTGCTTTACATAGCCAAGCAATTACCACGGTGTGAGAATACGGTTACTTTTTTTCTAAAAGCATGATACTAAAATATATAACTGATATGAATCTCCCCCCCCCCCTTTATTTTGGCTGTTTTATCTCTTATTTTTATATTAGACATTTTAATCATTTTTTTTTCACATTGATACTACACACATATCTATAAGAGAATACCGTTTATTGAATACTTAAGTTAGTTTGCTTTTTATGATCGGACTGAGTCGTAATCTAAACCATTCTAACGGAGACACTTAAATCCTTGTAGGTA